AACAGTGCAGTTATACTAATTAAACACACCTGATCAAACTAAATCTAAAGGTAGTGTGTTGAAGCAGGGCTGGAACTAAATTCTAGGCTGTGGCCTTCCAGGAGTTTGACACCCCTAGTACATAGCATATTTTCAAAGCAACTGCCTACATTTATCACAGTTATGCACATATCGTTTAATAAAAACAATAAAAATATACTATAATATAAACTTCATCCATAGAAAAAAAAAAAATAAATAAATAATCCGATTCTCATGTCGTTCCAAATCTGTAGTAATAATAAAAAACACAACAAATATCATGATTTATACATTTATTTAGGAAAGCCTTTATACTGTTAATGGCACTTTTACTTGCCAGTTTTCCAGACAAATTCATTGAGTCCCTGCAAAAATGTATGTGCGTGTTGTTTAAGATATATATATATATATATATTTTTTTTTTTTTTTTTTTAAATAACACATTTTTACTAGTTATTTAGCAAAATACTAATATTCAGTTGAAAGTGCAATTTAAAATCTTAACTATAGGTCAAACTAGGCAATTAAATTAGATTAATTATAGAAAAAGTAAACAAAGTTATAAAAATTATTGTGACAATTTCTTTGCTCTGTATGAATATTTTTGCCTTTAAATGCATTTCGTCCATATCTTACACTTACCTTTTAATAAGCTCTGTGGCATTGGTTGACTCTTGATACTCAATGTTAAAAACATAAAAGGAACCAAAGAAAACACAGAGATAAAATAAATATAAAATAGCAACATAAAGCATCAGAGTAGATAGGGCAGTAATGGTTGAACAGTAATTTACCATTTATTATCACAGTAAATATCTGTAATGGTACATAGAGTAAATTACTGTAATTTATTCTTTGCACTACAGAATTTCATACAAATCCTGCTCCTTTTACAGTAAAATACTGTTTCTTTTCATTACAGCTTAACACTGGCTATTTTACAGTTATTTACTTTATAATCTACAGTAAGGGTTAACAGTGTAGCCTATTTCACATTTTTTTAATGCTTCAGTTCAAATGCACAAACTATTTAAAAGAATGACTCACAACGGGAAATTTTGAATTACTTTGGATTGTTACCTGATAAAAAAATTGATGAAAAATCCAAAATAGCAACAGGAAACATTGAAACAATTTTTGACCACTTCATATAGCCTGATTTTGTTGAAAAAAAAAAGCTCTTTTGTAACAAATTTCATTCTGTATTATTTGTATCCTTATTTTAATTTTTTTTGTTGGTCATTTATCAACAAAATAAACAAAAAAAAATGAATAAATTTTAGGAGAAGTGAGGAGTAAATAATGCTTTTTGCCCTCAAGGTATTTATAAATTACATTTATGTAGGCCTATTATAACAAAACTTTTTTTTTTACAATTTGAGTTATGAATTACAGTAACGCAATACTACTTGGTATCGTGATACCTCAGCTGCTATAGTATCATAATATTAATTAATGGTATTGCAACAACCCTAATATAGAGTATAACAGGAATCAGAGAGTAAATTCAATACTTTTTAAGAACTTTAAGACTCTTTCCATACATTTTAAGACCTTAAAACCACTTTAGGTTTCAACAGTAAAACACTGGCAAGATTTTTAACTTACAGCACATATGCTAAATATTTAATGTAAAAAAAAAAAAAAAAAAAACTAATCCAAAACTAAAACATTCGTATACTGAATAAAAATCAATTGAATCTAGCTAATTCAGCAGGTTGGCGCCTATAGAACTAATAGTATTGCATTGGTTACTGCAGTAAACAAAGCAGCAAGATGTCAAATCTAGCAGGACTTTATTGATTTTATGAACTACACAGCATCCTGACATTCACAGATTTAATTTATTATATAAAATGTATATAAATACATTACAAAATAGCATTTAAGATTTTTAAATACTTTTTAAGGGCCTTACATTTCTCTACATTGATTTATCAAATTTTAATATTTTTTAAGACCCTGCAGATACCCTGTAATAAAAGACCTAAACAAAATAAAATATATACATTACAAATAATAGCTGAAATAAATATAAATATTGAAATTACTGAAACTGAAATAAAAAAATAAAATATGAAGAATTAACCTATAATAAACCCTGTAAAGCATTTTACTATATGATAAACAATATTAAACATTATTACTAAATAACATGATAAATAATAATGACTAATTATACCTCTATTAAAATGGGAACGAGAGAAAACTAAAAATATCTAAATAAAAAGAATAATTCAAAATATAGTTACACATGATATCAGCACATGACACTTAAATAATACTAGTTGTTAATAAAGTTGATCTACGCATCTTGAAAATTCCTACAAGCTTTGTTAATTTATCATCTGACATTTCTGATGTTACACCAAGCTGTGCAGTTTATATGGCTAATGACTTTGACACTTTTATTTCAGATAAAGTAATAGTCAGTCAGCTCCTAACACCACAAATGCATGAACCACTAACAACCACCCACCCACAAGTCTCCAGGCTACAGGTCTATACATTTTCTTGTACCATCACACCACCTGCCCCCTTGACCCCATTTCTTCCCTTCTTCAAGAATATATGTGAATTTAGAAGACATCACTCCACACCGGCACTTGCCTAACAAGTGATGGCTTGGGTAAGTCTTGGGTCTCTCTTCTCCAGCTCAGGTTTCTTCTTTCCTCTCCCAGAACAATGTGCCAGACAGTAATCAGTCAGGTTTTAAAAGCTGACATTCACAGGCTTGCTATCAGTCACTGAAGCCCTGCGGCTGGTGGGAGCAATGTCAGTCTTCAATCGACTGGACTTGTTTGCAGAAATCTGGGGTCTCATTTATAAACTGGGGTCTCACTTGCCATGCAAAAGCTGTGATTTAAAAAAAACTTGATGGGAGAAAGTGCGCAGCTCTAAGTAAACATTTAACTTAAATATTGACTTAATTGAACCCCTTTAAATCACCCTATGAGTCATAATCATTAAACCTTTCGATTTTGGGGTTTCCACCTGGATTTTGCCTACGCAAATTTAAAAGCTTCCCAAATCAACATGCAGACGTGCAAGTGCAAAAGTTTGGTATCATTTTAAAGAATACCCTCTGAATTTTCATAAAACAGCGTTGAAAGTGATTTAAAATAATTGTACATGTTGTCCGTTTTATAATAACCCCTCCAAAAAAGAGGCACTTTTTTTGGAAACTCAAATTTGATTCTGTGTGGTTCAGGTTGCTGTAATTAATTTAGTTGGTTCCTGCGTATTTTAGCAATCATAGGAAAAAATACAAATGTCTACATTATAATCTATACAAAAGTTATTCTATTGCAACTGATGAGAGAACAGAACCTCTCATGGGGGTATTAGGCCAGTACGGACCTTTAAAATAATTTAAGATTGCGGAAGTAAATGTTGTCACGGTGGTGCATAGAGTTTAATAAAAAATAAAAATAAATTTTTTTTTTCTTAAATCATAATTTAAGAATTACAATTTCATAAAAATTTAGAAGGTTTTTACGCTAATTTGATAAATCAGGCCTGACTGTTAACCACTAAATCCTCTTGTCAACTCAATCCTGGATTTACTAAAACTGTAGTTTTGCAGGATTGTGTGCTAGTTCACGAAAAGATTCTGGAGGTTTTAAATTATAAATCACTGATGTAGCTGGAAGTTCTATGCTTGGCCCCTATTCTTCTTCACACAACATTAATACAGATCTCTACCCACACAGTGATATATCAGAATACAAGCTCTAACTTAACCTCCTTGTCCTCCTAGCCAGAAACCTGGGAAAACTATTAGCAATATTGTGTAGCAAATACAACTTCTTGCAGATTTGCAAGATCAAGAAAATCACACCATTAAAAACCAAGCATGTGACAACTTCTTGTTCAGGCAGATCATTTCTAGACTGGTTTTTAATGTTTTAGCCTTTCTGTGTGTGCAATAAAACCCCTTTCAAATGATCCAGAATGCAGTGTCACGTTTGGTCTTCAATGAACCCAAGAGAGCAGACATTATGCCTCTCTTTGTCTCACTCCAGTGACTGCCATTTGCTGCCATCATCAAGTTCAAGGCACTGAGGCCTGCAAAGAGAATAGCCACTGGATCTACACTCGAATAACTGCGCTCACATTTGTAAATGTGCATTAACTCTGGTCGGTGCATCTGTTAACTCTCTCACATCTACATTTCTGAATAGTTAAAGGGACAGTTCATCAAAACATCAAGACTTGTTTTTTCTTTCTTTTCTTTTCTTTTCTTTTCTTTTCTTTTCTTTTCTTTTCTTTTCTTTTCTTTACAAGGTGCCTCCCTGGGCAACCACCCATATTGCCCATGCCTAAATCCTCCACTGGGAGTCGTTGGGATAATCAGATAAAAATAAATGCATATTATTGACTGCTGACCTTGCATGCAGATCAGACTGTTGTTGGAGATACCCAAAATCAAAATATGACTTTTTAAAATGCATAATAGGGATCTTTAAGGCTAGAATGCACAGTGTTTGACAAGATGTTTCCCTCAACTTGAAGTCTAAGCACTAGCTACCAAAAGTCAGCCAATCCGCATATTCTGTGTAGTTGAAGTTGACTCATTTCACAAAAACATCTTGTAGAATATGAAACAAAGTTGACATCGATCGTTTCATATTTTGAGCTGATTTTAGAACATACATTTTGTACATTTGTGATGTGCTTCTCGGCACATGTTTTTGCATAAGTTTGTCAGGTTTGAAAAGCCTGTTGTTTAGTGTGCAATGCCCAGTCTTTCTCTATAGCGCTTTACAAAGTTGGCAAGAGTACGATGAGAAGTGTTTTAAATCAGTTCAATGCATCCCTGCTTTGTAGTGCATTCCAGGCCTTAGTACTTGAAGACTTGGCAAGAGTTTAGCTTCAATGATTTGCGATTTGAAGTAACATGTGAGAGAAATAAAATAAACAGGACTGAATGTTGAATACAACACACAGTATAGTGGAGTTCCAATGGCAGTGCTCACCTTTGGGTTATTTGCATCGAAGAGGCCAGTGGAGAGGCCGATGAGCAGTGCATCTTCATGGCGGTGGGAGCGCAGTGGAGACACTGATCGAGAACGTGAGGCAGCAGAGGAAGAGTCTTCCAATGAGGATTGAGCAGACAGCATGGCCAACGCTACTGTGCGTCTGTGAGCTGGACTACTGCTTAACTTCACAAACAAAGACTCATCTGCTGGAAAAAGAATGAGGTCAAGAAAAAAAAAACATCTTTTGGTTTTTGTTTATAACATTGCAGCTTCATTCAAACTGGAGTTCTTAAAGCTTCTGAGGATTAACATTGTTGGAAGGTAAATGAAGTGTAAAGGGGAAGCCTGGGGTTCTTTTGATATGGTGCATAATGAGACACGCTTGTGTGACAGGGAGATAAGGTGTCTTAGCTTTGCGCTTGAGAATACCTGGAGGTTCAGGATGTTTCTCTTCTCTCTGAGGTACCTCTGTGCATTCTGCTTGTATTACTCTGCCCTCTGCTGGCCTAATGTTAAAACGAAAATGCAATGATTAGGCATAGTTTACATCAGGGGTGCCCAAACGGAGTCCTGGAGAGCTGGTGTTTAGCAGATTTTAGCTCAAACTTGCCTTAACACACCTGCATGAATGTCTCTAGAAAGCTTAGTAAGAGCATGATTAGCTAACACAGGTGTGTCTGATTGTGGTTGGAACTAAACTTTGCAGGACACCAGCCCTCCAGAACAAAGTTTAGGCACCCCTGGATTACAACAATTATACAATGTCAGTATGTACACTACAGTACAGTCTTTTCTAAGAAGAAATCAATCCATTTATTCATCCAGAAAGAGTTATTTTGTTTTGAAGAATTGCTGTTTATTATTTTGTTTATCAAATTATATTATATTGCTTATCAAATAATCCTGTAAAACTGATAAACAAAATCCCAACTAAATATTTAAAATAGCACAACCATTTTCAAAATTAATAATGCTAAAAATATTTTTAAGCATGAAATCAGCATATTTGACAGTGAAGACTGAAAAAATGGCTGTTGAAAGGTTTTCCTTACATTTGCAGCTTTGAAATAAAATTAGTTTGAAGATGAAACCCCCCACCTCCCAAAACAGTAACAGTGATATAGATATGAATGTCAAAAGTATTATATAAAGTCAAATTCTGTGGAAAAGCTTACAGAGACTCTGGAGTGTCTTTAGTCCACGCCTGAATTACTTCTGCAGGGGGCGGCTCTGCGGTTTTCTGTGGTACATCATCCAGAACAACTGACTCCATATCATCCACCACTGAAAGAAGAGAGAAAAGTGAATTTGTTATAAACATTAAGTCTCAAGATTGATGATTGTAATCCTTGCACATTACAACCTTAAATAACAGAGTATGCATGGTGTATAAAGACTGGGTATATGCATGAATCCTAAAGGTAATTTCATGACCGCTTCAAATTGTAATTAAGTTTATTAAATTAACTTAATAAACAGTTGTTAATAAACTGTTGTAGTTAAATAAATCAATGGAGCACAACCATGCACCAGAAAAGAAGATAAGCTTGGAAGGAACAAAGCTTGAAAGAATAAATCACGCGGTTGTTATCAGTGACAGGCTTCAACTACTGTTTGTCTTTTTACAACCAGGAGTACGCAAACTTACATTTTCCCATTTTGCCGTCTGTTTCGCTCGATTGTTTCGCTACATGTGGAGAGCATCATATCACCTTCTGGCGTTTGTCCCAAATTACGTGACATCACCCAGACGGAGGAGCTTGGCCGGATGTGTCCCGGCCCGAACCAATCACATGGATTGGTTGGATTAACGCCGTTGTTAATATTAGAAAGAAAATAAATATATTTTCATACTTTTTTGGAGTTAAACAGTTTGGACAACGCTGGAACAAAATTTAAGACATCGTAATACCGTGATTAAGACTTTTTACTACCTTTTAAGGGACTTAATTTTCTCATAGTTGATTTATCAACTTTTAATACTTTTTAAGACCCTGCAGAGAGTGTGAATGAATGTATATTGATGTTTCCCAGTGATAGAATGCAGATGGAAGGGCATCCTCTGCGTGAAACATATGCTGGATAAGTTGGCGGTTCATTCAACTGTGGCAGGGACAAAGTCGGAAAAAAAATTGAATGAATGAAGACCCTGCAGACAACCTGGAAGACTACTGTGGTCATATTCAGAGTTTTGTTCTTACCCTCTATGTCACTTTCTGCAGAATGAGATTTTTCTGTCCCCTCTGCTGTTGTTTGGATAAGTTCCTGACTTTTAACCTCTTCTATGATTGGCACTGTCTCTTGACATGTCACTTCTTGTTTGTCATGGTCAGTGGCAGGCTGGCACGGTTCAGGAGGAGGCACTTGCTTGGCTTCATTAGTGGCATCCGATTCCTCAATGGGATTAAGGCTTTCTGATAAAAACAACAGGGAAAACAGGAAAATATTGTCAGAACACATAACAAAGTGGGAAAAACAACAACAAAACACTAATATTAAAGACTCACCAGTCAGTGTTTGGTCACACGTGCTGGCAGGATCTAGTCTCTGAGTAAATGACTGAAGTTCTGCCTCTTCCAACACCTTCAAAACCTCTGAATCTGGACTCTGCCCCCAAGCCTTCCTTAGCCCCTCCCCCTGCCAGGCATCCATGCAAATGACTTCACCTACTGTTTTTTCTGAAACAAGATTAATATATATATATATATATATATATATAGGGTTCTTGGATATAACCTAATGCTCTGTTTGTTATTCAGTTGGTTGCTACAGAGTGCCGGGAGTCCCAATGAGCGTAGCACATGCTCTATGGTTACAATACAAAACACACTCCAAAACATAATCTATTCCCTCTAGAAATAACAGAGGGTGTACAAGAAATGAAATAGCCCTTGCTACTTGCTGACTTGCAAAACCCTCTTTCAAATTATTAAAATTTGCACTTTAAGCACCTGTAACTTTCAATTTACAAGAAGTTCAGCTTTATTTGGTCTTCATAACTGAACGGATTGGGTAGCACTATGAATGCATGATACTGATGTAATGAGAGTGGATGGCATGTGCTTTCAGATGCATCCAAGTGCTGCGAAATTTTGACTTGTTTCACTTCTCATTAGAGTTATGCAAATGTGAAATGCCACAAGAAACTCAGTAACTTTCATTACATTTTCTAAGTAGGCTAAGGAGCTGACTTTGACAATCTTTCAATATTTTTCTCCCTTTTATACAAATCCTACATAACAATTTAAAATATATTTTGTTGAATGAGATTAACTGTATAAATTAGTGAATCCCAGGATGAGGAAGTTTACCTGTTAATTGACCAGCTGTTCTAAAGCTGGTTTCTTCCAGTGTCTGCTGAGCCACAGACAGAAGAGGAACACCATCTGTCTGCCATTTCTTCCTGTCTCCACACGAGGGAGTATTCGTTTCTGGTGATGCCACCTGAGACACTAAGAAAAGACACGTGGAAACAAAATAAGAGAATGTGTGTGGAGCTCACATTAATACACCCAGCAGGCATACAACATCATAAGACGTTAATGTTAAGTTAGATTTAGGTTGTGACGTCAGGTGACCAAGATTATAAGTCTTGCCAGCCTCTAAGAGCGTTATGTTTATGTCCCATAATGACGTCAACCCAATTGTAAATGGACGTTGGGGTACGATGTCAAATTGACGTCATGTTGACATCCTATGCCTGCTGGGCATATCCAAAGGAAGTAAAATCGCGTTTTGACTTGTGTTAAGAAATTCTTATTAAAAGAATGAATAAAATATATGATATGAAATCAGTGTCATTGCAGGATCTTAACAATTCAAATTATGTCGGCGCAATAGCCAAGTGGTTAGCGCGTCGACATATGGTGCAGTAGCACGTCAGGGCGTCCCGAGATTGAATCCCGGCTCGAGGACATTTCCCTACCCTACCCCCCCTCTCTCTCCAACTTTGCTTCCTGTCTAAATACTGTCCTATCTAATAAAGGCAAAAAAGGCCAAAAATAAATCTTAAAAAAAAAAAAAAAAAAATTATTATGTCAAACAAAAGGTCATAATATGTTTAAAAAGTCTTCAGATTTGTGATAAAATCCCTCTTTTTTGTGTAGGATGTGCTTAATTTGGGGATGGAAAAACAACCACACTGCAATCCAACCTAAATTGATTAATAATCTTAAGAGTTATTCAAGTAATTATTTTTGGAAGTTTGTGGATTCAAACTTTTCAACTGGACTGCTATTGTAAAATATTCATGCAGCCTTCTAGATTAATGTTGATTTAGTGTATCCCGTTCCTCAAATCTAACTACTTTGTTGCATGTTCTTTTACAGATCATAGTGTTTATACCTGCCAGAGTAGCACAGGTTTCCTCGAGAGTCTGTTCAGCAACAGACAGTATGGGTGGAGCTACGGCTTCCCACTTCTTCCTATCTGCAGCTGTGGAAGGCCTTTCCTCTGTGATGGAGGGTTGGACTGGCTGAGGATCAGGACATGGTTGATTGCTGGAGGGTGTGGGCTCTTTTACAGAAACTTCCTCAGTGGTCTGAACCTTCTGATTAAGTCTGCGAAGAATCTCCTTCTTGTCACTCTAAAAAATTCCAGTTAAAGTATTCAGTGACGGTAATTCAAAAAACACAGTTGTTTCATCTTTTCCAAAGTCAAATTTACATGCCCTTTTCAAGAACACTTTTAAACTTTTCCAGCACTTTAATAGAAGAGATAAATGACATATTTATTTACACATTTACATACTTCATCACATTATATCAGATGCTATTGGTTATTGTATTTTATAGTAGAGTATTCTAAGGAAAATATTTGATGGCATGTTTGCCCCAATCCCAACATTGAATTACTGTCATTTATTCCCTTAATTTATTTTACTTGCATCTTTAAAGTGTCATATTTCATCGTAAATTTATATTTATTTTCATTTCAAAGGATGCAGATAAATAAAAAAGAGCATGGTTATAATACAGGCACATGTGTTTTCATTTTATGCTAAAAAAAATATAGATTTTATTTAAATTGTTAATTATTTTTAGCTATTCAGTAAAATAAATTATTATAAAAGGGACATCATTTTCAAGCAGTGTTAAGCACTTTATTCAATATCTAAGCATTTTTCAAACCTTGATTAAAATTCAAGGAGCACCCATACAAACCCTGAATAAACATAACAATATAAAAGCATTTATTTAACCCAAATATGCATTTCAGACCTGTACATCTGATGATTCAACTTTAAGGGAGTCCTCTTTCATAGGAGAACTCTGCCCTGATGAAATCTGCCAAAAACAGAAAGCACAGACAGCTATAGGATGGTTGTTACAGCAAGTGAACAAATGATTTTGTGATGATGAGTGACTAACCGCGCCCACATCCTTCAGTGCAGCAGTCATAGAGATGGCTGGAGTGCTGGGTCTAGAGGAGGGTGTGGCTTTAGAAGGAGCTTCCTGAGGGGTGGGGTCAGATGGTGGAGTTGGAGGGGCTGCAGGAGAGGGAGTCCCACCCACAGGCCCAACTGCAACTTTTACTCCTCGAGCGACAAGCTGCTTTTTCACAAAAGATAATGTAGAATACAATACATAAGAGATCAATGAGAAGAGATGGAAAAGGAAGAGATGAAAAGATGAAGACATACATGATCCTCCCATGCTTTCTTCTCTCTTTCATACGCTTCTCTTCTCTTCTTTTCCAGCTGCTCTTTCAGTACAGCAGCACGAGCCTTTGACTGGGCCTTACACAAAAACACAAACATGATTATTGTTTTCCTCAAATTATAATCTGGCCACTTTTGCATTCTGATGTTTTGTTTTAAGAAATCTAAAAAAAAAGAGAGAGAAATTAAAAAGAAAATACATAAAACGTTGTAAAGTTATCACTAAATTAAATATAACACGTTTTAACACTACTTTTATTCAACAATGTCATAATAAATTGATCAAAAGTGACAGTAAATTTATGTATGTTATGAAAGATTTCTATTTGAAAGTAATGCTGTACTATAACAGGGTTTCTCCAGGTTTCACCAAGTTAAATGTAAGACTTTTTAAGACATTTTAATACCATTATAAATGCAATTTTAGACTTAGCATTTAGCCCTGTATAAGTATTTTTTAAATATCCCAGTTACAAAAGATTTTCACTAGCCCAATTACAAATTAATTACAACTGAATCCATTTAATAATAATCAATAATAATAATCCCTATAAACCTTACCAAGTATAGAAAAAACAAATCCTTCAAATACTTCAGTCTACAATAGTAATAATATTTAAAAAGGAAATTAATTAAATGCTATTTAAATTTTATTGAGAGTGGGATTGTTGGTGTTTGTATGGGTGTTGATGGCCAGATTGGGTAGCTACACATAAACAAAGGAAAATTAAGACCTGTTAAAAACATTTAAGACCTACAACACAATATTACAGTAGGTTTAAGACTTTTTAAAGCCTAAAATTAAGCTTTTGAGATTTAAGACTTTTTAAGACCATACGTATACCCTGTACAGATATAATTAAGCTTCATTCTAAAAATGTTAAATTAGGCTAATTCTTGCTTAAAATTCAGTTTTGAATATTACATTTTATTGGTAAATATTAAAATATTCTAAAATATTAAACAGTAATTTTTATTTGTAATGATTTGTCATTTGTCATTATAATACTGTATTTATAACATTTTTTAGGTAATAAATGCAGTCTTGTTAAGTAAGGAACATCTTTCAAAAATACAATAAAATTGTATATAAATTGTTTTAATTCCTATTATTGTTATGCTGATAATATAATTAGGACAAATACATCATTAAAAAACTAAAATGCAACACCTTCAAAGCCTCAATCTTCTTCATCCTGAGCACTGCCTCTTCACATGACTCCTGACTGTCTGAGCCATCACTGTCATACTGAAAGAGACAATAAAATGATCATAAATAACGTGCCATCTGAAATCTTCTAAAATTAAGATTTTTCAGTAGGTGCATATGGTCAGTAATTCAAGTTTTACAGCGATTAATATGTTTTTTTCTTTGATTTTAAAAGAAAACTTAGGAGGCTGAAAAAAATGCTCATTTTAGAAGAAAGTTTCAGATGAAACTTTCTGATGGTTGACCTCAGATGAAACTGAGGTTTATGCATCTCTTTATATATTAGTATTAAACTTTAATATTAGCATCAAAAAGATTACAAAGGCATATTATCATACAGTTGACAATACAGTCAATTCTAGGTTAAAATAAATGACAACCAGGGTGAAGATGTGAGTGTATATACAGTACCTTCTCCCCTCTGAGCCGAGCTTTAATCTGCTGACGTTCATTAAAGTTCTGTAGTCTGATCTGTCGTAATCTGGTCAAATACTCCTGTGAAATGCACAGATACATATCATCTCTCTATCCAAGTTCTCCTCTTTACAACAAACAATATAGGTAAGATGTGTATTGTAATGAACCATATATAACAATATATAAATGGTTAAATATAACGGGGGGGGGGGGGGGGGGGGGGGGAGGACACATCAACAAACAATACCCCTATAAGATAGCAATGGAAAACTGGAGAACCAATAGGTGAGCATTGAAAAAAGGAATCAAATTCATTGAACTCATTCATCGAGACAATAAAAAAAGCAAAAGTTAGATGTTCTTCAGCTAGAGTCCAGAAATTACACACAAAAACAGGGTAGTTCAAGCAAAATAACATTCACTAATGAAAAAAATGGTGAAACAAAGAGGGAGTGTTTTTTATATTGTGGTACTGTGCAAAATTGAAATGATACACTGGAGCACTTTCATTGTAGGTCATGCTTACATACACAAACAAACAGGATCTGGACATCAGAAGCCAGTGAAGAGCTGCAGTAATGTTGGGTGAACACATACAACTTAAAATAAGGAGCTGTGTAATGAGGGGTTTATTAAGTGGCGAGGTGGATTGAGGAGTGTGGTTTGGTCCCAAACAAAACTCCTACCTCCTCCTCTTTGTTCACTCGGGGTCTCCTGCATCGGGAGGAGTTTGTCCAGCTTGCAAAGATGGCGGCCAGGTTTTGCCGGGCCCCCTATTCACCCATTGGTTAATCCGATATTATAAAAGCCACATAATTAATTATAATATCAATCTTATTAGTGACTTCAAAATTCAAACACTCTCAAGCAATCAAATTGTTTAATAGAGCCAAACTGATCATACAGTAGACCGTTTCATTTCCCTAGACTTATTAACTTATCCGGGAGTTAAAGAAATGCTTCAGTTTTAATACAATATCTGTGGCATAAAATATTATTTAGCTTCACTCTATTTTTAACAAAATTTGAATTACAATAAAGAATATAACAGACTTTGTAGGGCCAATTTTCATTCTTAATTTTAAAACACTCCTATTGCTACATTTAATATTATTATTATGGGTCTTAAGTGATTTTTGTGGGGTAAGAGTACTTTTCGATGTATTTTTTTTTGTGTGATGCAAGTTCTGAACCAAGCTAACTGGCAATTTTTTATACAATACACCAAAATAAACTAGCCATTAACTACATAGATTAGACAGATTTCATTCAGTCATTCATTCCTGTCTTTTTAAAGACTAGCTTATTTTTAGTCTGACAGCCCAAATTTAGCCGAGATGTCTATGTTTAAACATCTATCAAATGCATATTAGACAGAAGCAAATGCTGGGTAGTGTGTTTTTGTGGTCTTGTATTTGTATTTGAAATATTAATAAGACTCTTTTAGAAAACATGAATAAGTTAGTATCAACTTTCATGCCAATTTTTAAAACTACTAAGAGAAAATTCAAAACAATTTTAGTAGAAATAGGTAACAAACACTGTACTGAATCCACATATTTCCTTTAATCAAAAGAGTATACAGAGTTAAGGAACGTACCAGCTGTCCTTCTGCACGAACTTTATTCAGCATGGCTTCTCTTTTCCGCTGTAGAAACTCCTCCACCTGCTTGGATTTCTCTACTGCCAGCTGACCTCGAAACCTAGAGTCAAGACAAGTAGTGAACTTAACTCTATTTGACAGATGTGTGGTCTGAATATCTGAAAGCATTAAAACACATCTGACCTATTGGCATAGTCGATCTTTGAAATCTGCTCATTTTGGAGACTTGTTTTACGTTGTTCTTTCCTGACGCCATTCTTAACAGGAATGCAGGCATGACCATTTAGAGTCCCTGAGTCTGAAGAAGTCCTTCAAAGACAATAACATTGTTGCACAATAAATAAATAATAACAAAAACAGCCTTGTATATTTCTCACCCATCTTATTCACCTGCCATTGTCCCCTGCATGCACGGCTCCTTCACCAGCACCATCTTTAGGTGTAGGTTTGGTTAATTTTTCAGCTGAAGGGTGGATGCGGTCATATGGCGCTCTGCTTGGAGCTAAAGCTGAAGAAGGAACAGGGGAGGGTCCAGGCACAGGAAAGGGAGATATTCCTGGGGAATGGGGAGCTCCATTGCCGCCGCCACCTCCATAAAACTAATCAAAAAGAAGCGAAGAAAGATAAACCATTTAAAGTTTTTAGATATTAGTATAAGTGTGTTAGCCTTAAGGATATCTATAAACTAGTATGCTCCAAAACAATGACAAAATCACATCTAGAAGATATAAACATCCAAAGCTTGAAGTTTGTCACTTCAGCCTAGATGGATACTAGGGGTGTCACGATTTCAATTTTTAATCGAAATCGATCGAAATTTATGCTCAATTTCGATTATAGAATCAAAAAATAGAATCGTTGATGCTGCCACGCCCCCATGTCAGCTTGGCTTGCCAAGCGAGAAAAAAACAGGCTTGTTGAAGTGCTTGTTAAACTGCAGAAGCAGGAGACCCGTCGAGAGAACTTAAATCCTCTCCTCTTTCAATGAAGTCGCTGGTGTTTAAGCATTTTGGATTTCCAGTGAGTTATGTTGACAACATTCGTGTTGTCGACAAAAAAAAAACACAGTTTTGCAAGCTCTGCTTGTAAAATACGTATTACATACGGTTCGTCCGATAGACAACACCGGCATCGCGATCCTCCGCCCGCCCCTGTTGCAAATCCGCTCGCGAAAAGTACACACTCAGGGCCTGTTTACACTGTCCTTGTTTTTAAATGGCATTTTAGAACGACAGCAATTTGACATCCACAGTGGCGTGTAGCATTTCTGAGCAGCCCTCCTTCCTCTCTGCCTCTGAAAATGCACATCACGTGACCACACACACACAGACTCACACAACGCCATGCACTCCAGACAGCAGGTCCAGGCAGTCAGAGGACTGCTTCAATCTTTCACTCACTTGTACTTAGTCATTTTAGCGAACACCTCAGATACTGTTGGCTGGTTCCTGTTGGCTGTGCGTCTTTTTTACCGACGCCATTATAACGACACAGATCACTGCCTATTTACGAGTCCCGCAGAAAAAGTGATTGACAGGTGGTAATTATGTGTGTATCTTGCCTTTATTCATTTACTGTATGATTTGTTTATGGGTAAAACAAAGACCATGCAGGTCAGGTAGTTTAAACGGTAGGCTACAAATAATTAATGTGTCATTAATTAATTAATTATTCATAATCGAAAATCGAATCGTGCCTTTAGAATCGAAAATGTAATCGAATCGAGGATTTGGAGGATCGTGACACCCTAAATGGATACACAATTTTTTGACAACTCATCAAGACTTCTGACCAATCATATGCTCTGTATCTGACATGTCCCGCCCCTTTCAAGATGCTTCTCATTTGCTTTTAAGTTGATGTGCTTGATATCAATTAAATAAAACACTATTGGCTGTTTTTTTAAGGATACTCTATATCCTTGAACCATATTGACAGGTTTTATTGACTTATCTGTAGCAGATAAGAAAGACAAGCGCACCTTCCGCTCAGGACTGCTTCCTCCACTAGAACTCAGCACGTGTCTCCAGCCCTGCTCTCGAGCTCGGTTGATTCGGTTCAGCTGAGAGGAAATGGGTCAAAGTTTTAACACCAAAAATTGCAGGTAACCATCAATGGTTGTAAATAACCATTAGGAGAATGGTACTGATCAGTTCACCTTTTCTCTCTCAAATCTCTTCATCTGAGCAGCCTTCAGTAACAACATCTACAGAGAGAAACACGATTACAGAGGGTCAATGACTCAATCAAGAAGCTTTTAAATGTCTTTTTGCCCAAGAGACATATTACAAATAGCATCCATCCATCTAATGAAACTAGAGCAGCCATCTGCTGAACTTGATGTGAACTCATTCAATCGCTAAAGCTATAGTTACATAACAAATACACAATCTGATAGAAAGCATCTTATGCCATACGTGGCAGAATTTATTTAAAAATTAAAATACAGCAAAGACTTTATGAAATTTAAATATTATTACAACAATATTACAACACTTGACCCCCTTTATATGTTAAAATGTCATTTATTCCAGTGATAACTGCCATTACTCACATGACCCATCTGTCTTTTGCACAGAACAGGATGCATTTTTTTTTATTCTTTAATGATGAGAAAGTTCAAAAGAACGTCATTACATTATAAAATTTAAATAACATTAGAAATGTCTTCAATGTCACATTTGATCAATTTAGTATGCCTTTAATAAAAAAGTAGTTATTTATGGAGTTAAATACGAAATATGATGTGATATCAGCTCTTGATGTTATCAAAAAGTTCACCTGTTCTCTTTGTTTTCTCTCTCTTTCCATCATCTCCATCCGCTTCTTCCTCACTCCTTCCTAAAAAAGAATATAACCAGGACACTTTTAAATATGTAAATGTTTGTTTACAATATGTCACTGTAGAGAGGCAAGATCAGCCTATAGAATTATATCCTGCTCGCATATCAAACTTCCATATATAATCATTTGCACAATTATTTGACTCTAAAGTGTATTTGTTTAGCACTCCTTGCAGTTCAGAAAAATAGGTTTGCCTAAATATAGACAGCATAACACACTGGATTGATGAAAGAGTTAATAAACTCAGGGAAAAAAGGGATGAAAAGGAAATGTAGATGCCCACCATATGGATGACGGCAGATGAAGAGAAGCAGAAGGACACCAAAAACAAAGAAGGGGAAGATAAAAAAAATTCACTGAAGAGAATAACATTTGGCCATGTGTGCATCAAGATTAAATTGGGATTTGTGACATTACAAGGAGAGTTCACCCAAAAATTAAGATTTACTCACTATTTACTCACCCTCAATTGGTTGTAAACATTTATGAGTTTCTTTAATCTGTTGAATACTATTGAAGATATCTCGGAAAAAGTTTTTTTTGAAAGCCTGTAACTATTGACGTCCATTGTAGGAAAAACAAATAGCAAGGAAGTCAATGGTTACAGGTTTCCAGCTCTCTTAAACAGAAGAAAGTAATACAAACAGGTTCGGAACAAGTGAAAGGTGGGTAAATGGTGACAGAATTTTTATCTGAAAATTCTAAGCATTTCTGGATTTATATCTTATAGTTATTCGTTATGTGAAATATGTCATTTTTATTTTATTCTGTAAACAACTAATGTCATGTCTCTTAATGTTTCTGTTGTCGTTTAAACATGTTTAGTCATGAAACAAAAGATACCATGTTTTCAGACCTTAATAAAATAAAACAAATGTTAACATTTTATTCAAACTCAAACTTTATCCAGTAAATCCAGAGAATTTTTAAAGGTATTTTTTAGAAATAGTCGTTCAGCTCACAATTTGATCCAAAGTATCTGTAAGCACATCGATCACAGTGATGAAACTGCTGGATTATTTATTTATTGCCACATCAGCAACTTATGGCTATTTCATGGCAAGATGAATATACATAAAATATTACAAACAGATTCATAAAACTAATTTGTATTACAATAAAAAGTTACTTAGATAAATATATAAAATATAAATAAATAAAATTCACACAAAAATACATTCAAAGTTAAGTATGATTTTTCAGTTCAATTTATGATAAATTATTTGATTCTTCCTGGTGGTACCTTTTTAAACATGTCCATGAAAGTACTCTCCTTATAAAAATTTTGTCTAATTATATTCAAACTTCCACATTCCAACAAAATATGTTTCATGGTAAGAGCAGCCTGGCAGTAATTACATGTGGGTGGGTCTTCGCTATCGAGTAGATACAAATAAGTCAACCTAGAATGTCCAATTCAATCTAGTATAGACAGTTTGATCATGCCTGGTCTCAAAATTATAATTTGCTAAGTGTCTTTTATTTATTTTCGGGTTAAACTGCTGGATTAACATCTGAACAAGTGCTCAAGAGTTTAGCAGATCTTTAACCACTGTCGTCGACAATTTATTAAAACTTACTAGTGAAATATGGGTAAACCTATCTGAGATTTAAATCCAAAGCATACTTCAAATTTTTATATATTCAATTCAATTCAATTCAGCTTTATTTGTATAGCGCTTTTACAATGTAGATTGTGTCAAAGCAGCTTCACATAAATGGTCATAGTAACTGGAACAGTGTGGTTCAGTAACTGGAACAGTGTGGTTCAGGTTTTAGTGTTTAAGTTCAGTTCAGTTCAGATATATATGCTAGGCTAATGCACCCAACTAACAGTGTGCTCAACACATATTTTCAGTACACTTTGAAAGGCAATGCGCAGGACAGCTAATGCACACTGTACACTTTAGGCTATGTATATACACCTTTTTCTGCTGTGACCGCTGCATTTCAATTTATGGCCTGCACTTCCGGTTTGGAGAACTTCCTTTTAAAATAACGTCAATATGGTTGTGCTACAAATAATCCATCTACAGAAAATGGTCAAAAAGCTGTGAGTGAGAGGCACATTTGGCATTGTGTTTTATTTTTAACATACAGTTAAAGTCAGAATTATTAGCCCCCATTTGAATTTTTCTTCTTTTTTTAATATTTCCCAAATGATGTTTAACAGAGCAAGGAAATTTCCACAGTATGTCTGATAATATTTGTTTTCTACTGGAGAAAGTCTTATTTGTTTTATTTAGGCTAGAATAAAAGCAGTTTTTAATTTTTTTAAAACCATTTTAAGGACAAAATTATTAGCCCCTTTAAGCTATTTTCTTCCCGATAGTCTACACAGAACAAACCACCGTTATACAATAACTTGCCTAATTACCCTAACCTGCCTAGTTAACCTAATTAACCTAGTTAAGCCTTTAAATGTCAAGCTGTATAGAAGTGTCTTTAAAAATATCTAGTAAATATTATTTACTGTCATCATGACAAAGATAAAATAAATCAGTTATTAGAAATCAGTTATTAAAACCATTATGTTTAGAAATGTGTTAAAAAAAATCTTCTCTCCGTTAACCAGAAATTGGGGGAAAAAATAAGGGGGTGGGAAGGGGTAATAATTTAGGGGGGCTAATAATTCTGACTTCAACTGTATATGAAAATAAAATTTCACTTGGTATTTTAACTTATCTCTGTCCAAAGCTTTTGTATTTTCTCTTCATATTTCCTTAAAGTATAGCGATATTCAACACATGCGTAATATTGCTATGAAACTTTTTGGGGTTATTTGACTGCTGAAAGTAATTTGTTAATTCTAACAACTTGACTATTAATATTTGTTGGTTGATCTGGGAGGAGAATAATGACACCTAATTGTAACCGGTTTCTAATTGTTTACAGTTAAACAAAATTGACTACCAATCTCTCATAATTCAAGCAAAGCATCATGGGGCATAGAAAAGGGCGAAAAAAAACAGACTCGAGTAGGACAGATTGTATTTGTAAAAGGGTATGATGGTTAATACAGAGGCAGGAGCAGGTGTTAGTACAGAGTCTGTAGACAGGGGGCACTCTCTAATGTACCTCATGCTTTCTCCTCTCCTCCTCCACTCGACTCACTCTCCTCTGAACCGCTGCAGGAGGGGGAGCCTGGACAACACATGACACCGGGGGGCTCTCATATACAGCACACAGCGGACAACATCAACAAATGTCTGAATGGTATATGGTGTTCCTCGATGCCTCATTCAGACATAATGAGTGGTAATGTATGGGCAAAATGTGGGCGTGGAACTGCCAATGAAATACATTCTCCTTATTGGCCATGGTTCTCACCTGCTTAAGTTTAACTGGTTTCTTTGCTGCATCTGGGACCTTCCTGGCGACTTCAGATGGTCTCCGCACTGTTAAAGGCACTCCGTATTTGGCTGCTGGTTTGGTGATTTTCTGAGCTGAGGTGATTGGGATAGGGCCTGGGGCTGGACGTTTGGCTAGGGAGGAAATAGGCATAGAATATCAGTAATTAATCTTTGGTATTTGGAGATCAAGAAAATTATGTACAATGCAATGATGCACTAAATTAAATAAACTATATTTCAAAGAATGAGCAATTTTAGCATTTAGATTAGCATTAGGTAAAAAATTAAGCCCATAATTGTGTCCAGATGAAAAAAATAATCAAACAGACATTACAATATACATAATATGTATATATACAACATATATTGATTGTTTGCAGCTCTGAAACAGTTTGGTACCCACATAACAATATACTCAAGGATGAAATTCATGCAGAAACAACAACAATTTTAGTTTTTGAGTGAACCATCCCTTTTTTATTGACATGGAAATATGTAAACATTTTAACAAAATAATGATTGAAATAAGAACAAAACCACTAGGTGGTAATAAATAATTGCCATTTATCCATTTGATTCATTTAAAAATCTTAGTAAAATTGAGTAATAAAGTAAATAGTTGTCATTATGAATGGGCCTCTGAGTCATTGTTTCACTTAATTCATTCAAATTGCAGATTCACTCAGAAATCCATCACTACTGTATGTTGACTGGAGTTGCAATGTTGCTGTTGCTTAATATTTTTGTTTTCAAAAAGGACAAAAACAGAATTTTTAAAAAAATGTATCATAATATGAATATTCAATTAAAGTTAAATATTAAATGTGCACATGTAAATCGGTAGCTAGCTCTCTGCAACTCTTACATGGTTGCCCTCTGAAGCTAAGCAGGGCTGTGCCTCGTCAGTACCTGAATGGGAGACCACATGGGAAAGCTAGATTGCTGCTGTAAGTGGTGCTAGTAATGCCAGCAGGGGGCGCTCAACATGCAGTCTGTGTGGGTCCTAACGCCCCAGTATATTGACATACTGCTGGTCTTTCAGATGGATTCCAAGGACTGCCAAAAATCCCAGAATGTCCTTTGAAAAAGGAGTAGGGGTTTAATCCCGGCATCCTGGCCAAATTTGCCCACTTGCCTCTAAACTATCCCCATATCATAATTGGCTTAAATCATTCTTTCTGCCCTCCACCAATCAGCTGTGTGCGGTCTGGCGCAATATGGCTGCTGTCACATCCTTTAGGTGGATGCTGCACACTGCTGGTGGATGAGGAGATTCCCCACAAAACAATGTGTAAAGCGTTATATGAATGTAAGAAATAATTATTATTACTACGAGTAATATTGCACTTATTACTTGTGTGATGTTTTATAACTCGATCATGAAAAATAAATGGGACCAAAAGGCAAGCCCAGTATACAGAATTATAGGAGCAAAAAACAGCAATACATGGATTCTATCATGTAGTGAGTGATTTCACACTTTCAGACATTTACTGAAAATTACCCATAAACTGCCAGAGATCCTGTGCAAGCAGACTCTTTTTTAAATTTTTTTTAGAATTTTAGAATGAGAAGTTGCAACATTATCATTAAATTGCCAGAATTTTGCTGTGTGAGAACAGCATATTTTTGAATTTACAAATAAAGTTGTTCCAGTAATTTTAAGGGGCTATTTATTCTGTACCATGTAAATCAATTAAAGGAAATTCAGGATGATTTCCAAATGATCTTGCTGGTGCATTGACACAATGATTAGTCATTATTGAAAGTGCTAACCTGGTGCTGCATGGGCCACACTCATTTTGGGCTGAAGGTGAATTGAATGGCTGAATTCCTGAGCAATAAGCTGCAATATAGGAAGTGACATTGTAACAAAAACTGAATGCAACACATGCTGTATCGAGCCAGGACTTAGACCTGAGCGTTACATAACATCTGAGTTATAATTGAGTCACAATGCACAGAATTAGTGTATGATTCATCACACTGCTAATCGAGTCTGTTCGTGTGTATATGTCACCTGAGGGCTGAGAAACTTGTGAATTCTGCGAGCAAGAAAAGGCTTGTCCAAAATGGTCGAGACGGAGGGTCTCTCCCGGGGGTTACGCTTGAAGAGCTGGGCCAGGAGAGAGCGCAAATCTGGGGAGTAATGGATGGAAACAGGCGGGTATGAACCACGGATGATTTTCAGCACCAGGTTCTTCATGTTTCCTGCTTCAAACTGAGAGAAAGACATAACATTGGTCCTACTTGCAAATAAGACAAAAAAAAATCATATTCATTCATGTCTTAAATAACGTAACCCTACAATATTGTCAGAGAATAAAAGGGGGAGGGGGGACTTTTAAATGAATCAGTGGAATTTCTCTTCAGCTGCAAAGAGTCTCTCCACACAGCTAACCATCTCAATTTTTAAAGCCGCGGAACTTTTTCTTGACTCTCCACTGTAAAATATAAGTCTCCTCAGAATATTTATGGTGTAAATAATGAAGGAAAGGAAGTGAGAAAGGAAGAGAGAAGGGAAGATGAGACCTACATAGAGAGACAGATTAAACAGATATGAAAGAGCTGCTTCTGTTTTATCATTCACATCAATAAATAAAGCACAAAAATTCCCTCACACACAGAAGCTACTATTGAGAACATGGGGTACTTACTGCATGCTTAAGCGTGCACATTTCATACAGGACACATCCCAGGGCCCAGATATCACTAGGATCAGACCCGACAGAACAACGGGTAAAGAATGCAGACAGAGAGGGAGAAAGTAGGACAAATGGGTAAATTGTTGGTTTTTGGCAACACATTTGGATTACTCACACCTGCACGTGTGGAAACACATAAATATATACAAAAAAACAGCATAAAGATCTATATATATCTATCTAAGTACAAAATCTCTTTTTTTTTTCAAACCAATGCATTTATTTGTGGCTTGAGAATAATACGTCAATCTGATTTTTCATATTAGTGGTGTAATGGACTACAAATTTGATGGTTCGGATCAAACTGGTTTTTGATTTACGGATTTTTCGTCATTTGCTTTCCAAATGACAAATGAAGTAATTTGCTTTCCATTTATACCAAAATATTACTGCAAAAACTATTGGTTTTAACAAACAGAACTTATAAACCTGTAATAAAAAAAACAACAACAAAAAAACAGCTGGAAAACAAGGAAAATCTTCAATACAAAAAATGATGTTTGATACTGTTGGTGATAATGCTAAATAAAGAAATCAAAAATCTTGTACAATAAAATGTCATGTTTCATTATAGGTGTATCACAGTGACAAAATTTTGATGGCTGTTTGTCGCCACCCATTGTTTAAACAATGTAATTGTTTAATTGCTACAAAAATCACCAGCATCAAGTTCCATTAAACTGTGATTTTAATCTTTACCACAAATATCAGGATTTATATATAAACTATAAACTGTTCTCCCAGTACTTCTGTGTTAATTAATTGTTGTAACTAACTGAAAATAAGTAAAAACTGAATCTCACTTGATCAAACACAGATTTGAATGCAGCACTTCAAAGGATTAATAAACATATGCAAATCACTATCATTTATCATTCAGGTTGTGCGGGTTTGCATTAAGATCACAATCTTTTAATGTTGAATTGCACAGCTTTACACTGAATGCATTAATGCAGGCTAAACAAACAGTGACAGAACACCTTTAACTAATAATCTAATAAAGCATTTAAATCCCCCCACAACGTTTTCTGTCATCATTATATTTTACAGGGAAGCCAAAATTCTTTCATACAGGTGATTTGAATGCCGCGCCAGGCGATCTCTCTGCAATTGTTTTTAATGTTGGATTAACCTACAAGTTCAAAAAAAGTTATCACGAATCAACCCTAATTCGTTACTCTCCTCAGTTATATTATATTCATTTATTCAGAATATAACAAACAGATTTTAAAAATGTGATTAGTGTGCAGTGTAAACAAAGCTTTTAACCCAAACTAAGCCCACATCTAGATTGCCTGATATACATTTTCATACATTATGATATTATATTCATATTATAACATCCTGTCCAAACATTTGGAGTCAAAATATTTTTTTAAAAGAAATTAAAATTTTTATTTTATTAAGAAAGTTTCAAAATTAATTCGACCAAATGTGACAATAAGGGTTTATATGACAAAAATATTAAGCAGTACAATTGTGTCATTTTAATATAAATTCACAATATTACCTTTATTATAACCCTTGGGAACAGTAGTGTAACTAATAAAGCTATAGTTTATCAACTAAGGCTAAGAATATTCAGACTGATCAAGTTACAAACAGCCTGGAAACAAACGACTCAGGATCGATATGTAGCTGCTGGGATCAGAGAAACTTGTGTATCTTACATCACCTCTCTAATGACTCAGCAAACTGCACAAGGGTCCTTGAGTGCCTTATAGACACAGTACTATCCACCCTTTGTGCTCCAAACAGTGTCTTTACCTCTTGTTGTTGTATGGTTTATTTTCACATATCTCTGGCGACAGGTAATAAGGAGTGCCGATACATGTCCTTGCCAACTCCACGGTGCTGCAAACACAAACACATCATCTATGAATGTCATTCTCGCCCCATTTATGCTTTTTTTAAAACCAGTTTAAATATCTTGCCTGTTCAAAACTCTAGCGATTCCAAAGTCTCCAAGCTGCACAGTACCATCTTTGGTCAGAAAAATATTCTTCATAGAAAGCAAAACCAGAAGTCATGTGTAAACAATCTTATACTGCATTTGCATAGAATTGTTGATACAAAAGTGTGTGAAAGAGAGAAACTATACCTGTGATTTGATGTCCCTATGTAGGATTTTGCGGTCGTGTACATGTTTAAGAGCCAGACAGATTTGCACAAACCAGTCAAGAATCTTCCAGAAAACAACAGAGATCAGTACGTCAAATGATAACATTGCAAAAACTATTCTTAACGTTAAAATGGATTAAATAATTAAAAATCCTATATTCCTTTATAATGAAAGGAATTTGAAGCTTTTAGTATTGTTTTTGTATATAGTACAACATTGTAAAAAGCAAAGAAAATTTACCTGTTCCTCTGGGAAAAGAGATCCTCTTTGATTATTGATCTTCTTAAACAGGTCTCCTCCCTCACAGTAGTCCATTACAATGTACAAACAACCACTCTCTAAAGAATAAGAGAGACAGATTAGTGTTCTTCTACAGTAATGATGTAATAGATCTGCAATGATGGCAAGCACACTACCTTTCAATATAATTTTTTAAAATAGACTTTTACTTTCATTTAACAAGGACACAATTAATTGAGCAAAGGTAGCAACAAGTAAACTTATGATGTTAAGAAAAGTATATCCGTTTTAAATTAAATGCTATTGTTGATAATTCTACTAATAATAATACAAAAATGTCAAGAAAAATTACATCAAATAGATTAAGCATAAGTATTTCAACTGATAATAAAACAATTTCTTTGACAAACAAATTGGAAAAGTGGACTGACTAATGCCGAGTTCAGACTGCATGGTTTTAGCGTTTGTCGGTTTTGACTCGGTGACAGGTTTTGAGAAATCGCCGACAAATGCCTAAAAATCACAGGCAAATCAGTGCTCGTTCACGTGAGTGACAATCACACATTATGAACTATCAAAGACGCGATCTTTGAGAATCCCAGATGAGTCGCCGATGCCTGTGAGATATTTGGCATGCTAAATATCTGGAGCTGTCTGCAATTCAAATCATGCCGTGTGAAATAAGTTATGACTGAAAATAACATCGGCGATCTCCTACAGCCAATAAGAGAGCAGCATTCACTTGTGTGTGTGTGTGTGTGTGTGTGTGTGTGTGTGTGTACCTGCAGGCCTGCGGGAGGTTGAGGGAGAAGTTAGAAGAGCTAATTTAGAACCAAAAAATGGAGGAAAAACTATTGGAAGTTTGACAGGAGCACCCGAGTCTGTTTGACGTTTCATACAAAAAGTTTAAAAAGAAAGTTGAGGAAAAATTGCTAATTCCCTTCAAACCCAGGTGAGCAAATATGTACATTTCTACCCCCTTAAAGGCTTCTTTCTCGTTATGTAGTTAATAACAAAAGATATACTACGCTAGCCCAGATAGTCATGCAGTGTGAAAACATCTGTGACACAACTACTTTGAAAATCATGCAGTCTGAACTCGTCATAAATGGTCACATCTCACAGAAGACTGGGGTAAAGACTGGGGTAAAGATGCTGAAAATTCAACCTATGTGAAAAGTGCAAAAAGCTTTGAAATGTTGTTCTAAAAGTATGCATGTTTATGTTCAGTTATTTCACTTTAAAGTAAATCAGCAAACTATTATCTCAAAAACATTGCAAGAATTAGATGCTGTGCTTCCAGTGAGGACTCAAAGAAACTTGTTCATGCTTTTAACACCAGCAGGGTGGATTACTGTAACAGACTCCTCACTGGCCTACACAAAAAGACAGTCATACAGTTGCAGCTTATTAAGCTGCCAGGATTCTAAACAGAACCGGAAAATCAGAGCACATCACACCTGTCCTCAGATCTTTACACTGGCTCCCAGTTACATTCAGAATAGATTTTAAAGTATTATTACTTTTCTATAAATCACTAAATGGCCTCGGACCTCAATACATTACAGATATGCTGATTAAATACAAACCTAACAGATCACTCAGATCTTAAGGATAAAGTAAATTATAAATTCCATGGGTTTAGTCAAAGCAGGGTAAAATTGGCCTTCAGCTACTAAGGGCCTACTCACACTATGCTATCCAAACAGTGCCCAGGCCTGTTTCCCGGATCGTTTGAGAAGTGTGAGTGCGCTGAATCGCGCTCAAGCACGGTTCACTTGGCCGGCCCTGGCCCGGTTGGAAGAGGTGGGCCTGAGCGCGGTTCACTTGGGCTTTGGTGCGGTACGTTTGTAGTGTGAGTGCAAAATGCGCCAAAGCCCGAAACTGAAAGTGAGACGTGACTTTAAGGGACTGTTTCATTTGGATTTATTAATCATTCCTACTGTTCAGTGAACGCAAACTGCCGTAGTTTATTAAAGACACAAACTCCTCACTGCACCACAGCTGCGCGCCTTCAGCAAACCTCCTCATTCCGGCACCACGAGAGCTTTTTGATTGTTTATGAGTGCCAAAAGGGGCGGATCTGTTCGGCGAAATATCTGGCTGCTTGTCACAGCACTCCTAAGGACTGTTTGGGGAAATATTTGACTGAATGTCACTGCATATCAAACGACTGAAACGATATAACTAGAGAAATCTCCACTGTGCGCTGCTGAGTGAAAGTTCTTCTCACTGAACAGCGCAGCAGCGATGATGTAAGCATGCCCAGGCCCGATTGTGGTGTGAGTGCGGGCCGTTGGGGGAGACGGGAGGGGGGACAAGCGTGCTTTGGCCCGGTTCGAGGCAACTGTACCTAGTGTGAGTACGGCCTAAGCCCCCAACTGCGTGAATCAGCTTCCAGAAATTATCAGAGGTGCTCCAACATTAGGTAAATACAAATCAAGGTTTAAAACACATCCGTTTAGCTGTGCCTTTAATAAATGAGCACTGAGCTACGTCCAACAGAGCACAGTATTATGTCTCTTTTCTTTTTCATTCTTTTCTAATCAGTTAACACATTTTAATCTGTTTTTATCTCTTTTAATATTTTTAATTATTTTAATCATTTTAATTTTTATGTTTCTGTTATTCTTGTTTATGTAAAGCACTTTGATTAACAATGTGTATGAAAAACGCCTCTTTTAGAAGAAAATTTCAGAAGGTACTTTGAGGTTTTTGAATCAGAACTCTCCATACTCTATATACTGTCAAGCCTAAAATTATTTCTACCTCTGGCAAATTTTGTTTTTGTTCAAATTTAAATAAAAAGCTAAGAAATATGATTTTTGGGAGAAGCTGGCGTCATTTTCGGTCAAAAAAACCAATAGACAGAATTTTCCAGGGGTATGAATAATTTCGGGCTTGGCTGTATATTTCATATATATAATGCTTTCATAATTTGATCATTTTTAGAGCGTTTTCAACAAACAAATGTAGACCTCTAACAATCAGATTTTACAATGTAATAAAATAAACATATTGCTCTCCATTGTTAATAGCATTAACATTTATACACTGCCACAGATTTATGTCATTAATTAGCCAGCCATCCGGATGTCAGAGATACCGCACTGCTCCATAAAGAAAACTATCATTATCACAACAACATCCTCCCTGTAATTTAATTCAAGAGCTTTGAGCTCCACGAGATTCTGCCGGCCACCCTAATCTATCAATCTGACACGAGTCTTTAAAAAGAAATGCACTGGCTATAGTTTGTGCCGGAACTAATGTTCTTCGATTAATCAAAAACAGTCCACTAAAACCCAAACACAGAATGCTCATTCCTCTCATGCATATTGACATAATGTGGCTGCATGCAATGAAAAATATTGTAAAATCATTTAATACCAGTTTCTTAATATGGATGTCTTAGTGTATTAAAAGGCTTTACCTTCAAAGGATTCCTTGTATTGGACAATGTTTGGATGGCTCATGTTAGCCAGAACTGCCACCTCTTTACGTGATTCCTGTCGTTCCTTGTTCGACATCTGATAAAAAAAAAAAAAAAACAGTGCATGAATATGTATAAATTTAGATAGCACCCTCAGCATATCACATTTTGTCTGGCTGAAATCTTAAATTAATAAAATACCTATTAGCATTTCTGAGAGATGTCTAAAAGATGAAAGTGATGGACTCACCCTGGAGATACCAATCTCCTTGATAACATATTGTCGGCCATCTGTCCTTGACTTGACCAAGATGGCTTTCCCAAAGGATCCCTCCCCAATCTTCTTTAACCTCTCATATTTATCCATGTCTGTGCAAATGACTTCTCATACTATAACGGAAAGAATAGCACATGATAAAAAGGAGATTTGAATTACTTTAAACGTGGGATTGTTAATGATGCTGCACAGGCTGGTGAAACTGAAGATCTACTTGAATTTTTACACACAATCAGATCTAGTGTGAACACGGATAGTAAAACGGAAACGGAAAGTAAAGTAAAGCTAAAAATAATCAGTAAGTGGCAATTTTATGAAAGAAAATGTCAGAGGTCAGAGCGGAATTACCAGACTGGGTTAAGCAGAGAGAATCTATTAATGATTTAATTAAATCAAGAAAGAAAAACAAAACACTGTTTACGATGGACTCTGCAGAAGAGTACAAATCCAACCATAAATCAGATGAGCTACAGCAGAAGAACAGCACACTAAATCCCACTCCTCACAGCCAAAGTCATACACAATCCACTCTGGCTCACCAAATTTGGACAATAAAAGAATGGAAAAAAGGTTAAATAGTCTGATAAGTCTCAATTACTTTTGTGACATTTAATAGTAAGGCCAGATTTCAGCATTTAGAACATGAAAAAATGGATCCACCTTGTCTATTTGAAAAGAATAATTTAGACTAATCGGGATGACTCAGTAGGGAAGTGAACAAAATAAAACATGTTACAAGCATGTATAAACATTACAGGACAAAGATAAACCTGAAATAAACAAAGCTTAATGCTTTTCTAGGAAAGTATAACTCTATTCAGGTGCAAAAATTGAATAATCAAATCTAAAAAACAAACATCTTGCACTCTTCATTGTGCCAATAATTGAATTTGAATCTTTATTAAAATTCCAAAGTGTCACATTTTCTTGTGCTTTAATACTTTACACTTTCTTGAAATGCTCACAGTCACAGGACTTTAAAAACACACACATGACAAACGCTCACTCTATGGTAAAACTGCAGTGACTCCAAAAACCTAATGTGCTCTGAACTGTGGCTCGTGATATAATGCCAACTCAACATTGCACATTCTGAGATGATACTTTTGCAAATGTGTGCATTGTCATATCGATGCTGAAATTATATATTGTGCAAGCCTACTGCCTAGTATTAACAGGCCAAGAAAATGGTGTGGCACATATGAAGTAAAATCTCTGAGGAATTTTTCCAGCATCTCCAGAATCTGCCACTCACAGGATTAATAAAACTAAGGCACCTAGTTAGTTAGATAGATAGATAGATAGATAGATAGATAGATAGATAGATAGATAGATAGATAGATAGATAGATAGATAGATAGATAGATAGATAGATAGAGGTGTGGCATATTAAAGTCACATTCAGCTGTGATTCATTCACAGTGTCAGCAGGAATTATTAAACCAACTCAAGCGGAGCACCTCCTGATGAGTGAAATGTTGATATTTATTCCATACAGAATCCAGCTGCATGCTGGGAATGACTACAACTGCCAGATGGCCAAGGTGAATTCTCAGGAGGACAGGCATTTTAGACAAAATATTGGAAAGCAAACACTAAAAATATCATGCCCAAAAGTAGCAGCCTTGCTTGAAAGCAAAAAATAAGCAGCAAAAAGCCAGACAGTGAAAGAAGGCTTATGAATTAAATATGACATGTCAGGAGGAATTACCCACCACCCTTTAAAGGGACTAAGAAAGGGGTACAAAGAGAGAATATAAAAGAAAAACACGACTGATAGAGACACACCTCAAGATAACACAAATTAGGTTAAATACATGATGAAAACTGTCGCCCAATAATAATAACAAAAGCACAAAGCGGGCTGGAAACTAAAACTTGCAAGCTGTAAAGAACAAAGCAAAACACAGAGACTTACTCAAGATAGGAGCTGACTTGCACTGTCAACCATTAACAATAAGTTATTAACAAACTAGATTTGTTATGCAATTTTATGCTGTGTGGATAAAAGCAGCAGCACATTAACGTTACAATGCAAAGTGTGTAAAGCAGCAGCTGGTGTCTAGTGAAGCGGGGCCTTGAAAGGGTCGCTGTTCAAACTAATGACAATAACACGATACTAAAAGCGTGCTAATGAAAACGAAATGGTCAGTTTCATTGACAGGGCGGAACGACGCTGACATGGACTTTAAAGTTACACTCCGCCACATATTTTTGAAGAAACACACAATTTGTTCAGCAAATTTAGTTCTTACCTTGTATATCTTATATATTCCGAATAGTCAACGAGCACTGGCAGCATCACAGCAGCTCAAATGAAGATTTTTTCTTTTGTGGGCGGTCTCATGTGTGCAGACGGCACACGCTTACTGCTAGGAGTGATTCGATTGGTCTACGCTCAATTTGAGTTACGGCTGATAGGTTGAAAAATATGTCAGTCAAAACATACAGCTGGCATGTTTGTCTGTCAATGTTTGGCGCAAAATACCCCCCTAGCAACCGTCACCGGTTGGTACACGGTCATGGAGCCTTTGGTCACTATCCGCTTTCATGGTCCTTAACTGAAGAGCCTTTTGAAAATGACCCCACAAAAGGATTAATGAATTCTGGTGCACAGCACTTGTAATGTTTACAAGCATTGCACGTGTTTTGTACATTTCTTATAAAAAAGTATCATGTTTATGGTGTTTATCTTATTATTTATCATTAAAAATAATTTTTAAAAATAATAAAAATAATAATAATTATTATAATTGTATCAACTTGATTTTGTGAACAGTGCATATTTCTCACTGATTACATAGAATGAATGTTCTCTATTATTATTATTATTACTATTATTAATATTTTATTATTGCATAACAAGAACAACAGCATACAAAAAATGAAGAATACAATGCTTACACTTTTTTACATCTAAAGAATAAATCAGTAGAAAAATAAATAAATAAAATTAAAGGGGATATATAAATGACAAAAAAATTGCTAAGAAAATGATTTCAAAACTGCATACATCCTTATAGCTTTTTTATTTTTTGTGTCTTTTAGGGTTTGATATAATGCTTAAGATCAATTTTAACCAAATAAATATTAAGCTTCCTAATACTTCCCATATATTATCATTAAATTAAAAAACTAAGTTTGCTAAAACGTTTTGTTATTATTATTTCATATCAAAAAAAAAATCTTTACAAGAAAACTGAATTTTTATTTTTGTAAGTTTAAATACAAGATATTCAACATTAAACCAAAACATTTGGGTATATGTGCATAAAAAAAAAACTGGTGTTTTATTGATTCCTCCTCTAATTTACAAAAAGTGCACATAGATTCTATGTCTCTAAAAAAAAATGTAACAACTTTTCACTGGATAAATTAAATGTATTAGTTTGTTACTTATTTAATTTTAATGGTGAGACAGTATTTACTAGGTAAGTTCCATTCTTTTTTCCACTCAATCTGTTTAAAAAAAGAATTTAAAAAAAATTTGCATTTAGGCAAAAATGTGGTTCTGCATAACTTTTTATTGCAAGTAATTAAATTTATTGTCTATAATTTTCATACCTTTTATACTTAACTGATTAGTATGTAAAATATTTGATATTTGAAATTACCAAGTAAGAGCTGAACAGGTCCACTTGGATGAATGTTGATACAAAATTTGAAAGTTTACCCGCCGTTTTCTGAGTCAGTTATTTTTCTCCAGAGCTGAAAATCTCCACTTAAACAGCGACACATGCACCAAACCTCAGCTTACGTAGTCACTAAAGGACATTCTCAAATTCACCATCTTATATGCACAATATATCTTTTTAAGGCTGAAAGTAGCCCTTATCATAACTTGCAAATTTAAGAGAAAATAAATTAAATGAAAAGGCTGTTAATATATATAACCGCTGTTTATGCAAATCACACACAGGAGGCTCATAATCATTGAACATATAATTGTTTGACTAATGACGCTTAGTTTTCATTTTAAAATCTTTATTTGAACGAGGCAACACTTTTATTTTATTTACTTTACCATGGCAAAATATCACACTTTACAATACTTTGATAGTGGATGAATAGATGTGTATTTACTGGCTGCTCAAATGACCATGTCAAACAGATTGAACCACCACTGTAATAAACATTCATTGATTTTTCTTCAGTTTAGTCCCTTTATTCATAAGGGATGGCCACAGCGAAATGAACCGACAACTTATCCAGCATTTGTTTTACTTATCCAGCATATGTTTTACATCTGCCACAAAAATATTATAAACATTCAGAACACCACACAGTCCAGAAGCTGTTTTTGGAGGAGAAAATCAGACAGCACTGTGTATCACTGTGTTTGCCGTGGCTCAGCCCCGCTTGTCACTAAAGTACGAAAGTGACTGAGACAGACAGACAGACAGTCAAACGAACCTGGGTGCGGACCTAAAGTGCTAGTGTGACAGCCCCCTTAACACTGAAAACTGGACTGACACGGTTTTAATTTACTATGATCTTCTATGTGAAGCTGCTTTGACACAATCTACATAGTAAAAGCGCTATACAAATAAAGGTGAACTAAACTGAAAAAGTGTCGAGCACGAAAGTGGAGAGCAGGGGGGGCGTTGGCGGAGAGGTGTCATGGACGAAGAACGGAAGTGAAAAGCGGAGGGTTGTCGCGGATGAAAGTGAAGATGGTTGGGGAGTCGGGACTATAGTAACAGTGAACAGGGGAGTAGGGCGGTTGAGAAGGAGGATCGTTAAAATGAGGTGCCAGATCAAATTTCAGAGGTGCTGGATCCGGAGTGTACCGGCACAATTTAAGGCCTGCTTTTACCCGTACTATAGCAGTAAATGCTGTCTTTTTTTCAAAGGATCAAAATAGGCAGAGCGGTGGAGAGTGAGGACTAGGGTTGAGAAATGCAGCCAGAAACACTCAGTGCTCAATTCTCCATCATACGCTGATCTGCTCATCCACTCATTCTCCTCCATGTTTCTTCTGGTGGCTCAGAAAACTTCCTAAATACGCAAACCTCTCTCCGCAGATGGAGCAGCGGTACGGTTTCTCTCCAGTATGAACCCTCTCGTGGGTCTTCATCACATCAAGTCGCGCAAACGTCTTGTCGCAGTGTGAACACTTATAGGGTCTATCTCCAGTGTGAGTCCTCATGTGGTTTTTTAAGATGCTTGTTTTATTGAAACTCCGCCCACAGATTTTGCACAGGTACGGTTTTTCTCCAGTGTGGTGTCTCTGGTGATAAACCATCTCAGTAGAAGATTTAACTCTCTTCCCGCATTCGGCGCACAGGTACGGTTTCTCTCCGGTGTGAATCCTCTCATGGACATTCAGTTGTGCTTTCTGCCGGAATCGCTTGTTGCAGTATTTGCACTGAAGCGGTTTTTCCTCAGAGTGGAATTTTAGATGGCAGCTTAGAGTGTAGTTGGTTTTGAAGGCTTTTCCGCACTCGCTGCACTGGAACGGCCTCTCGTTGGTGTGAATGCGGATGTGGTTCTTCATGGCGGCTTTGTAATTAAAACTCTTGTTGCAGTGAGGGCATTTATACGGCCGCTCGCCTGTGTGGATTCTCTTATGAACCTCCAGGGTCTGTTTATTGCAGAATGATTTGTTGCATACGTCACACTGGACACGCTGTTCACCACTGTGTGTCTTCAAGTGACCTTTTAGCTGACTAAAAGATAAAAAGTCCTTCCCGCACTGTTCACAGTGAAACTCCTTCTTTGCCAGATGCTCTTTCTGGTGAAGTTTTCTCTCCTGTAATGTAGGAAAAATCTTAAGACATCTCCAGCAGACAGAGGCCTTCGGATCTGAGTGTTTTTTTTCGTGAAACAATAAAAACCTTTGACAGGCGAATGCTTTTCCACAGGAGGTGCAAGAGAAACTTTTCTTGGACTTCCGCTTATCTTTTGAAGTTAAAGGCGCTTCTTCATCAGACGATCCAATGTTGTCATCTGAAAGAAGCAGAACTTCAGTAAAATATATGAAGATACATTGAATAGTTACAGGGTTTATACAGAACTTCTTAGGTTGAATTTAATACCTTCAAAAAATATTAACACCAGCACGACTTAGAGCTGCATCTGTAGTGGCGTAAATGAAATATCTTTCCAAATGGAATAACATATTGCAGATAACATAAACATTTAAGTAAAGCAGAAGGATTAATCAAGATGTCACAATAAACCTTTGTGCATAGTTTTTCAACAATGTCATATGTCACGGTGCAGCACGATTACAAACCGTTTTTGGCCCTGAATTCTCGGCACGGTTAGACAACCGTCCTGAACTGTGCCGATAGATTCAGTGTGACTGTGTTGACGTCGCAGGCGGCTCTGTTGCCAAGCTAAGCTACCACCAGTGATGCCAGATATAGTGGACTTTTTCCAGCCCAAAAGCTGTCCAAAACCCACCCAAACGCACAAACAATTAGACGAATATTTTATTTTTAATAAAATAAACCTAGTTACTTTAACTGTCATAATTGTTAACCATACAGCAACCAGCACCAGCAGTCACACAACCACAACACAACCGAATCACATTGAAACACTCTCTCACCCACACACTGCACTACCTATTGGAGTATGTTTTACTTTCGAAATGGGGAATAAATTCGTCCCATTTGCCATTTTAAATTATTTTGAACATAATGAGGTGCTGCTTGTCAATCAGATAATGCTTCTATGTTTGTTCCTGCTGTCAATTACGGGAAAAAAGATTGATAAAAGTGTCATAATAAACCGCTGTGAGTTTAACTGCAGGCGCTGCGTGATGCGCGTGCAAGCGAGGCTATATTGATTGATCTTGCAGTCGTGGCAATAGACGTGTTGCCAACTACAGGCCTAAGCCAGTCTGTAGATCTTGAGTCCTCCAGCCAGAGGTCCGAAAACTTGCATTTCCCATGTTATAATTTAACGAGCTTGCATATATGGTTGGCTGCAAGCCAGCCGGGTACCCAGTACCCACATGATATCACTCAGCTCCTACTCTCAACATATAAATAAATCCATGCAATTTTTAGAAAAAAGGCCTGCATTTAACACAAATTGAAAATTGTCTAAATAAAATTGGGCTCATCAGATGACATTTATTACTTTTTAATGCCCTTAATTTTTTCAAATTTCCTTTACTACCTTTTACAACCCCGCGGACACCCTGAGTTACTGAATGTTTCAATATTAGAGCGACTTCAAGGACTGATGGCAGCAAGTTTTCCATTACATTTTAAAATTTCACAGACCTGCTATCAAAACCTGTGGCCTGTACCATGAAGCTGGATTATCTGGCCAGCTAGCTGAGTTTCAGTTTAGTTTGCATCAATCCTGGGTTTTAGCTACTATGAAGGTAACTCAGCTTTAATCAGTCTTTAAAACTTACACTGCGCAGCTAACCTGCTCTAGAGTAGGAAATGTTCTTTTAAGCTCACATCATAGTCTGGCTACGTTCATAAAAATATGTTCAAAAAAGATTTTATGTTGTAAATATATTGCGACAAATTATGTTCTGGCCATGTTCCTGTTATGTTCAGATTATGTTTAAATATTTTCTGGTGATGTTGTTCAGGCTATGCTTATGTTATGTTCAGGATATTTTCTGGTTGCTTTTTGGCTTTGTTCTGGCTATGTTTACGTAATTTTCTGGTTATGTTTGTGTTATTTTCGGATTATGGTCACACTGCTTTCTGGTGATATTCAGGTTATGCTCAGATTATATTCTGATATTGTTTACATTTTTTTGCTTAATTTTCAGGATGTTCAGGTTATGTTCATGTTGTTTTCTGGTTACATTCTGGCTATGCTCAGGTTATGTTCTAGTTAGGTTCCTGTCATTATCTGGTTATGCTGAGGTTATGTTCACGTCACTATCTGGCCATGTTCAGGTTATGTTCTAAGTATGTTCCCGTCATTATTTGTTTGTGCTCGGGTTATGTTCTAGTTATGTTTCCGTCATTATCTGGTTATGCTCAGGTTATGTTCTAGTTATGTTCCCGTCATAATCTGGCTATGCTCAGGTTATGTTCAAGTTATGTTCCAGTCATTATCTGGCTATGCTCAGGTTATGTTCAAGTTATGTTCCAGTCATTATCTGGCTATGCTCAGGTTATGTTCAAGTTATGTTCCAGTCATTATCTGGCTATGCTCAGTTTATGTTCTAGTTATGTTACCGTAATTATCTGGTTATGCACAGGTTATGTTCATGTCACTATCTGGCTAATTTCAGGTTATGTTCCTGTAATTATCTGGTTATGCTCAGGTTATTTTCTAGTTATGTTATCCCGTCATTATTTGTTTATGCTCAGGTTATGTTCTAGTTATGTTCCCGTCATTATCTGGTTATGCTTAGGTTATGTTCTAGCTATGTTCCCGTCATTATTTGTTTATGCTCAGGATATGTTCTAGTTATGTTCCCATCATTATCTGGTTATGCACAGGTTATGTTCACGTCACTATCTGGCTATGTTCAGGTTATGTTCCTGTCATTATCTGGTTATGCTCAGGTTATTTTCTAGTTATGTTCCCATCATTATCTGGTTATGCTCAGTAGAGCTGAACAATTAATCGTTAAAAGATCGCAATCTCGATTCGACCCCCTAGACCAGGGGTGTCCAAACTACGGCCCGCAGGCCATCTGCGGCCCGCAATTAGTTTTGTGGCGGCCTGCGACGCTTTTTATAAATATTAATAGAATCTGGCCCGCTAAACAAAAATAAATGTAATTCAATAAATAACCACCGGTTGTCGCTATGACATGCCTTCCATTAGGCAGCAGTTCCTGTTATAAAGTAAAACAAACGGAACAAACTGAAGGAAACATAATTGATAATCACGTTTTGGCGAGACATGGCACAATCAAGAAAAAGGAAAATCAACAGTGAGTGCAGGAAATTTCAGTCACGTTGGGGCAAAAAATATTTCTTCACTGAGGTCAGTGGAAAATGTGTCTGTTTAATTTGCCAGGAATCAGGTGCAGTAATGAAGGAATATAATATTAAAAGACATTATAAAATAAAACATCTGGCCTTCAGCTCTTACACTGGTGCCAAACGAGATCAAAAAGTAAAACATTTAGCAGCTGCTCTATCAGCTCAACAATAGCAGTTTTTTCGTGCTAATAAAGTGCAAGAAAATTGAACGCTGGCTAGTTATCAGTAGGGCCAGACGGAATCTGCAGACGTTTTTTGCTATTTCTGTGGAGAATTTTGGTAAAAATCTGCAGATTTCTGCAGAATTATTTTGGGAGTATCATAACTAAAACCTTAGAATATTAAATAAAAAAATTATATATTTTTAACTTTTATTTAATGTTTAAAATCCAATTAGATTCACTTTATTTGGTAAATAAAGCAAGTTTGTCATATAATATATCTAGCTAAAGACAGAAAGTATGACTGTACACACTGTATTGTACATAAATCAGATCAACATTTTCACATTAGTCAATAATAGTACTGAAATTAATAAAAAAACTGAATAAATTTAGATTTACACACATTTACTCAAGTAAATAAACAGAATTAATGATGGGCAAAAAATCTGCAGAATTCTGCACACGCAGATTCCGTGTGGGCCTAGTTATGAGGTAGCTCAGCTAATCGCACAGCACAAGAAACCCTTCACTGAAGGAGAATTTATATAGGAGTGTCTGATGAGTGTTGCAACTGTAATTTGGCCAAAAAAGATTCAAGATTTTAAAAACGTAAGTCTTTCTAGAAACACAGTTGGACAAAGAATTAAAATATTTCCATAATACACACACACATATATATATATATATATATATATATATATATATATATATATATATATATATATATATATATATATATATATATATATATATATATATATATATGTATGCACGTGTTTGTGGAATGTATGTAAAATTTGGCCCGGGACAACTTTTTTTTTTTTTTTTTGTATCTCACCCTCGGCCCCGAAAAGTTTGGACACCCCTGCCCTAGACGATCTAAATCCAGCATTTCTACGATTCTGCCAATCATATTTTCGAGTTCAGGAGAGAAAAGAAGGCGGCTGCACGAGTCTTTTCATTGTTTCACACACGTTGCTCAGTGACATTGACATCTCCAAATAATGTTGAATGAGTCACAAACTGTATTCATAAGGTATAATTCACCTAAAAATGTCATTTTTGTTTTAATGTAATGATGTTTTCGCGATCGGGAAATCACACGTGACGTGAGCTGCTGACCGTCAGTTATCACAGAGAGGATGCGCGCGCGCTCTACTTCGGTGAACAGAACCTGCATATGTTGCGAGTAACAGGTAATACAGTTGTAAATAATATTCAGTTTGTGGCACAGAGTGATCGTTTGGGAGCCGCGCACGAAGTATGAACAAGCACTTAGACGTCAGAATGAAATCGAAAGTGTGCACTTCATTTAAATGATCAAATCGCATTATAGAGTTATGATTACGACAAGCATTTGATGTTTTTTCTTTCATAGTGAACCCACAGTTGTGCAAGAAAATAAATGTTTACAATGTCAGTATAACTGCTTTAGCCTATATATTGTTGAATATAATCTGATAATGGCAAATGTCTGATTTTACAGTGAATAAAATTGTCTAATATGACAGACTGCAAGCATATATCTCAAACATAATAATTCAACATCAAAATTATTATAAGTAGAATAGTATTATTTATAGAAACCAGTAGACCTACATATAATATTATTATCGAGGTTGTGCCATATGTTTGTTTTTACCATACCTTTATTTTACATCTACAGAATCGTGAGAAAATCGTGATCTTTATTTTAAGCAAAAAAAATCGCGATTCTCATTTTAGCTAGAATCGTGCAGCTCTAATGCTCAGGTTATGTTCACGTCACTATCTGGCTATGTTCAGGTTGTGTTCTAGTTATGTTCCCGTCATTATCTGGTTATGCTAAGGTTATGTTCTAGTTATGTTCTGGTCACTATCTGACTATGCTCAGGTTATGTTCTAGTTATGTTCCTGTCATTATCTGGCTATGTTCAGGTTATGTTCTAGTTTAGAAATCACAAACCAAAACCAACAAAGCCTGATTGAACTGGTCTGGTTTTGACAACTCAAAACTAATCCTGTAATATGGAGTTTGTTAAACCACCATTATGGAAGAGCAAAGAGTAAGCAACAGCAAACCTGATCTTACAGAGTCTCTGCTGACATTTACAAATCATGAAAAACAGCAAGAAGTCATAAAAGAAACAAACCTGCAGGAATAAATTCATCATCATTATTGTCCTCATCATCATTATCATCATCATCATCTTTTCCATTTTCATCATTATCACCATCATCCTCCTCCTGGTCTCTCTGGTCTTCTTCTTCTTCTGTGATGTTTTCAGTTCTCTGTATCAGGTTCCTGCAGTCCTCCAGTCTGATGGAGCACATCTTCAGTGTGGTCTGCTGTTCTCCAGCGTTTGGCTCAGAGCTCTGATGATCCTGAGCGTCAGTATAACAGAGTAAAGTCAGGCTGAGATCTGAGTTCTGTGTGTCTCTGAATCTCTGAGCTCTGACGCCGCACATCGAATCCTGATGCTGAAAAACACAAGAAACATCAGCTACGTCTGACAGAGAGCTCAGCAATCCACCTTCAGGACATGAAGATCTGCTCAAACCTCTGGCTGGAGTTTCTCTCCTCTTTCTCTTAGCTTGGCCTCCAGCGACGCCACCTCTTTCTTCAACTGACAGATTTGACTAAGGAAATCCTCAATATCCAGCATGGACAGATCAGTTCCTACTGATTTACAGCAGCTCACGTCCACCTGCACCTCCATACTCATCATCTGGACACAAACACCACATCATCAGCAAACACACGCGTTCATATCCATAATCAAACCATCAAACTCAGAATGAGAGAAAATCTGCACAGAAAGCAAGTAAAATACTGACATTTATAATGTACATTATATAAACTGTCAGTGCCCACAAAAAAAAATACTCTGGTAATGTACACTTTTTGAATCATACTATAGTAAATAATGTCAATTAAGCTGTTGTAGTAGAATTCTATAGTTGCTCATGTAACACAACTACAGTAATATAAACAAATGACCCAATACTGTAGTTATTCTACAACTATGGGTATTTTACAAAACAACAGACCATTGTTTACTGTAGTAAAAAACAAAGTAAGCTACAATATATATGTTACATCAGTTCACTGCGGTTAATACCACAGTATGCTGGAGCATTCATTAACAAACAGTTGTTATAATTATAATATATACACAGTACATATGTACTGTATAGTATGGTTTTAAAACACTGTAGTATTTCCAATAATTTCTAATAATATTTATGCATTTGCATTGTCATGAATGTGTTTTAGTTTCATAACAGGGTATGTTTATAAAAGGAAAAATAACAAAGTAAAACATATATATTACTATCAACGTGAAATACTTCAGAGTGCTACTGAAATTGAATATTTTTAAAGCAGTTTTACTACAAATAACATTGTTTAAAAGTGTTCGTGCAGTTAAACAGCAACCTTGTTGTTAGCCTACTTGTTTTTACCGTTAGTAAAGCACCCATTTTGCTACGAATAAAACAATGTAAGGTGCTTAAATCATAGAAATCACATATTAGCCATGGCTTATTCCAGCTGTTTATAAAACGGTGTATAACGTCATATAGTAGAACAACAAACACTCACCATCGTTTCCATCGAGGGCTCCAGTGTTTATTCCTTCAGTGGTCTGGCGGTCCAGTAGAAGAAAATTACCACAGCGCCCCCTACAGTACCGCTTAGCTATCGCCATTAATATTATGAAGAAAAAAATATATAAACGTCAGCTTCTTCACCCAGTGACTCTTGATACTACCATGGTGAAATAAATCGATAAAATTATGACATAACAAAACGAGTTGGTCCAACCTATTGTGTTTTGTTAAGGTTTATATCTATCCCAACCCTAAACCTCTCTTATTATAATGAAAAATAGTAAATAATGTCCAGTCTTAAAATTGTGCAGTAGCCGCAGTTATAACCCTATCTTTTACAGTCTATGATATATAAACGCGACGTTATTAAGGCCCCTGGATTTTTTCTTATACGTAACGTTAATTTGCTTTCTGAACCCACGTCAGACATATAATAAATATATTATTTGTTTACAATTCAAGCTAGAAAGTCAGAGTAATAAATATGTTTAATGCATAAACATTTTGGCAAATGTGTATTAATATTATTTATATTAAAATACGTTAGTAGTAGTATGCATTAGCGTTTTAGTGTGTTTGGCTCCACCTCTTGGCTCACCGTACACAGTGTAGTCAATATGGCGGCGTCCATAACTTCAGTTCACTTTTAGCGACAAACAATAAAGAAAAAAACTAGCGTATGATATTGACTTTTAACGTGAGTTCGATGTCTTGTCATCTGAATGCCTAAATAACGTATGGTTTAATCAGTTGTAATTATGCATATTTTAACCACGTCGACTTGCGTTGTGTTTTAACAAGTGATGGCAATTCATTAACATTGATTTATTAATTTGTACACATTTCTCTATTAATCGTTTTCTGAATGTCAGATTATACTTAAAAAGCCCCAGCAATGTTATATAAATAGGTATATGTGTGTATGTACATAAAAATGCAGTGATACCTTGGATATAACATTGTATATAGTCCATTACATTTTTACCCTGATATAGTTTAATAAATAATTTACACGACGTTTTGACATGTAAAATGGTGCATGTCAATGTCGTAAAAATGGCATGCACAAAATGACCTTAAAAAAGTAATAAAAAACTCATCATTCATTTTGACCTGAGTTTTAATGGGGAATAAGAAATGACTTTTCTTACAGCAAAGCCATGAAAGTTGTCCCAAAACTTTAGCACTATGACAACACTTTCTGCTATAAGTGATGAATTACTGTTGGTGGTAAACATACTGTCAGTCAAAAATGCATATTACTTATATGTAATCATTTTGTATTTTTCTTGAATTAAATTGAAGAACAGTCACCATGTTCATTTGCATGTTGACCTTTACTCACTCAATACTGATATTTGCTCATCATCAGTGTTTATTCTGCAGATGTGTTTTTCTCTGATAGGCTGGGGATGTCCAGGCTGGCTGTGGTGTTCGGGGGTTCGCGTGGCATTGGGCGAGCAGTCTCTAAGCTGTTGGCACAGAGGGGTCACAGGATTGTGCTGTTGTCTAGGAATAAAGAGGCTGCACAGGCCACTGCTCAATCTCTCCCTGGAGGTGAATCTTTTAAAATGTCCAAGAGTCCTTTAATAGGTGTTTGTTTAATTCAGGAGTATACATTTAATTTCAGAAAACCATTTGGGCCTAAGCTGCGATGTCTCAAAAGAAGAAGAGGTTCAGAAAGCGTTTGAGACCATCAATAAGACCTGTGGCACTGTAGGGTTCCTGGTTAATGCGGCTGGCATCAACAGGTCAGACAGGATACTAAGAAATAATGCAGAAAGTAGAGGTAACACTTTATTTTGACGGTTCATTTGAGTATTATAAGACTGTCTGCTTAATATCTGTTGATACTGCTCCTTCAACAGACATTTAATCCAACCCCAGCCTAACAGTCTACTTATAATCTAATGAGAATTAGTTGGCATGTAGATGTAATTTAAATTCATCTATCGGACCATCAAAATAAAGTGTGACCAATGTAGATCGTGATCTTGAAAATTCATGTGACAGATTGAAGATTAATTTCAGTACTTTGGCTTCTAGTCAATGATCATGGCCAAATAGGAGTGAAGAAGATAAATGTCACATTATTCCTCTAATAAAAATTGAATATGTGTTTATTTTAAAGAGATGCGCTGTTATTGAGGAGTAAATCTGAAGACATGCTGTCTGTTTTGCACACTAACCTGCTGGGCTCCATGCTGACATGTAAGGCCGCTGTACGAAACATGCTCAGTCATGGAGGAGCCATTGTCAACATCGGTGAGCCATATTTCACAATGTACACCGTCTTATGATGATCTTTTTTGTTATTTCAATTCAGAAGTGACAGCAAGGTTAAGATGAAAAAAGTGAAACGTTCACTCTGCATCAGTAACTGAACATTTTGTGTTGATTAATTCACCACAAGATGGCGCTACAGCTTTAATATTTTAAATAATTTCACTGATTGAGCACGTCTTTCCGCACGACTTAAAACGAAAATCGAATTTTTCATTTGGGTAATTAACAGAATATAAAAAATGTTTGTTTGTTTTTTGATTGAAATATTTATTTTGCATCAGTTAGGTTTGATATATAGCTCTATGATCCTATTGATGTTTACTAGCCAGAATAATGATATATTGAAGTTTTAGACAAAAATAATGTTAATAAAAATATGTAGCATCTGTTTTTGTCCAGTAAAAGAGTTTAAAACATATTCGTAATTGCATCAAATAAAATGGACAATAGTATTAGCATATTCAAATGCAAATAAGGCGTTTAATATTATCTTTCACAATGTTTGTGAAAATTAAATGTCAGCAAATGTGTCTGATATCATTGTCATTTAGCATAACATATATTTATGTAAAAATGAAGCAACATGATTATTCTCAAGTGTACTTGTACTGTCTAATCAATCTTTTTATTTTACTTGTTGAAAAATGGAAAAACCTACACTGTAAAAATTTTTTTGTTGAATCAAATGAGCTTTTCAGGTAATCTCAAATCAATCAAACTGACTAAAAATATTAAGTTAAATTCTGTATAACATCCGCTGCGTTAAAACATGCTGGATAAGTTGGTGGTTCATTCCGCTGTGGCGACCCCGAATTAATAAAGGGACTAAGCTGACAAGAAAATGAATGAATGAATGAACATTTGTTGAAACCTGATTAACTTACCCTGTAAAAAAACAGTTCCACACAATTCACTCATGTTGTCCCAACACAAATCGATTAATTTAACTTAACAAATTTAAGGGGATTGAACACAAAACTATGAAGTTGTCCTAAAAATCCCCTCAAGAATTGTGTCGTTTCTGTTCATCTTAAATAAGTACACTGTAAAAAAATACTGGTTACCTTTAATTTTTAAGCTGAATCAAATTAACATTGAGAGTCCATTAAACTTACATTATGTTAAACTGAATTAAAACAGCTTGTGTAACTTATAAAATTAGGTTAGAACATGATTAACTTAATTTAATATATGTTGTCATGACTAAGTGATAATTTTTTTTTTATGGTGTAGCTTGAACATAAAGCAAAATCCTTTTTGTGTGTATTAAAACAACTTAAAGTAACAAAAGCATTTGTTGTCAGGACTTTTTGTCATATGATGTTTTCAGTGTAGTGGTTTGAAGGATAGTGTAAACTGTGCACAGTGGTGGAGAAAGTACTGAAAAGTAAAAGTTTTAGTCATCATACAGTAAACATCCGTCATATCTCATCAGTGACATGCGGTCTAAACAGTCTCTGAGTCAATGCGTGTTAAAGTATCTTCTTGGACACTTTTAATGCTTCCAAACAGGAATAGGAATAACAGGACTGATTTTTCTAATCCCCATAGACAGGTAATAATGAAGTAGTGACTGCAGGTTGAAGGAAAGTAGTGGAGTAAAAGTACCAATACTGCACTAAAAATGTACTCCGGGGAAAGTAAAAGTACACATTTTTAAAACTACTTAGTAAATTACAATTCCCGAGAAATACTACTCAATTACAGTAGTTTGAGTATTTGTAATTTGTTACTTTTACACCACTGCTGGTGTATTACACATAATGTCACATGTATTGGTTAGAAGACGCTCACGCTAAAGATGTTGGAGTTTTTCTGCTATGAAAGAAAGATTTGCAATAAAGGATTTAGAACAGAGATGCTCAAAGTAGGCCCCGCGGCAGGCCAAAGTTAGCCCATTATAACCTTTGATTTGGCCCAATGTCCTCTGAGAAAAGAGTGAGAAGGATGGAGAGGGCTGAGCCAAAAGCCTTTATAAGAGATTGTCATTTCTAATTTGGCGTAATTTTTTTTTGTATGTTTGTTTTATTGCTGAACTAAAGAAAAAAAAGCTAACTAAAATGAAATCTCATCTTATTCTCGTCCGCTTTTCTGGGACTGGGTCGCGGTGGGCAGCAGTCTTAGGGGAGAAACCCAGACTTCCCTCTCCCCAGACACTTCCTCCAGCTCCTCCGGGGGGATCCCGAGACATTCCCAGGCCACCTGAGAGAATAGTCCCTCCAATGTGTCCTGTATCTTCCCCAAGGCCTCCTCCCAGTGGTACATGGTAGGCGTCCAAGGGGCATCTGAAACAGATGCCTGAGCCACCTCAGCTGACATCTCTCGATGTGGAGGATAAGCAGCTCTACTTCGAGGTCCTCACCCTGTCTATAAGGGTGTGTTCTGCCAACCTGCAAAGGAAACTCATTTCGGCTGCTTGTATCCGAGATCTTGTCCTTTCGGTCATGACCCAAAGCTCATGACCATAGGTGAGAGTAGAAAAGTAGATTGACAGGTAAATTAAGAGCTTTGCCTTTAGGCTCAGCTCCTTCTTCAACACAACAGACCAGTACATCAACTGCATTGCTGCTGCCGTTGCACCGATCCGCCTGTCAATCTCACGCTCCATCCTTCCCTTACTCATTAACAAAACCCCAAGATACTTGAACTTCTCCATCTGGGGTAAGGACTTTCCTCCAACCTGGAGATGAAAAACCACCTTTTTCCGGTGCAGCAACATGGCCTAGGACTTGAATTAAAATGTTTTAATTAAATGTTGTAAAAAGAAAAAAAAAAGATTTTTAAAAATGTAAATGATGTCAATCAGGAGCAAATCAAAGCAAAAACTAGTGTAGTGCTCCATTCTGTTATAAATGAGATTGTTTTTGTCTTTACTGTAATAAGTTAATTATAAAATGTAAAAAAAAAAAAGATGCTGTATTATTAGTTAACATAAAGCAGTGTTTTCTAGTTATTTTTAAATATTAATAAACGAACTAGAAAATTACCCATGACAGCTATATTTACTAGCCTTAATCAAGTTTGATTTTTGGCCTTTCATAAGAAAAAGTTTGGGCACCCCTGATTTAGAGCAGGGGTTCCCAAACCTTTCAGCCTGCGATCCCCAAAATAGCAATGGCAGTGACTCTTGACCCCCATTTTTCAAGGTGGTTATACTGTAAATATATAAACATTGCAGACACTACAGGCATATATAAACATGAGCATATTGACAACACAAAAATGCCACAGTCTATAAACAATATCATGTTTTTTTATAGTCATTTATTCATTAAATTACATTTTAAATTAAAAATTAAAGGCTGATGGCTGATTTTTATTCGTATGTTGTCGTTTCTACGCACAGTTAACTCTCTTCTGTGGGTTATGAATAAAATATGGTAATTCAAATAGTTTAATAAAATTTATTTTAGTTTTAGTCACAGAGCAACCCCTTGTCATGGTCCCGTGACCCCCACTTTGAGAACCACTGATTTAGAGAATAGAATGAAGACAAAAAATCAGTTTCATTTGATTTCTTTGTGTTTTGTTTTTGTCATCAGACATTTTTTTTTTAATTGCCTCAATATACCTATATAATTTTCAGTATATTAATATATACTATAAAATAAACATTAAAGTATAAAATATAAATATCAGTTTTGGTCAAAAATCTGCCCATTCCGTATATTTGTGTGTTTTTGTTTTTGTAATCAGGCATTTTTTTGTAAATGGCCCAAATATACCAATATAATTATCAGTATAAATTAATATATAAAATAAAAATATAAAATATCTGTTTTTGTTCAAAACTCGTCCCATTCCTTATACGATTATAATTCAGTAGTATTTCTAAGCTTGTGATGTGTTTCCTCAGGTTCAGTGGTGGGTGTGAAGGGTAATGCTGGTCAGTGTGTGTACAGCGCCAGTAAAGCTGGACTAGAGGGATTCACTCGCTCACTGGCAAAGGAAGTGGCTTCTCGTAACATACGAGTGAACTTGGTGGCTCCAGGTCTTTTTTCCTTTTAATAACCACTAATACTGTTACTACTTTATATTAACAGCAACTCTGAATTCATTGTGTCTGGCCTTCCAGGATTGATTCACACAGACATGACTGCAGGACTGGCAGAAGAAGCAGCGGTGAGGACCATTCCATTGGGCCGTTTTGGGGAACCTGCAGAAGTGGCCCAGGCTGTGCTTTTCCTCCTGGAGTCGCCTTATATCACAGGACAGATTCTGCTGGTGGACGGAGGACTACAGCTGCTGATGTAATGATTCTATGAGTCACTGAAGTATTAAAGTGCATATTTTTGTTTTGGTGATTATACCCAATATCTCTATTTAGGGGTTGAGTCAAAGCTCGATATTGTTAATCTTCTTCTCATCACTCTGTGGAATTCTGAGTCATGTAAAACATTGTGTAAGAGTAGTTTTGGACCATCTGGATTAGATTAATGTTATTTTTAGTTCACTGGAGTTTTTGGGTTATTGCTGCATGTTCCATACTTAAGATAATGGAGGTCACAGATCAACCAGCGGAGGATATGACTCGTTTTGTGATGTCATTTCTATTTTTAGCATACATAGTTTATTCAGATATAAATGATGTTAGAATCGCAGGTTTGTAAAAGATCAGAAATATACAGATTTTAAAATCAAGAATGAACTAAACACTGAAAAAAAATATTTATAGATGATTCCTTGAATTAACTACATTTTTTTTTCGTTAAGTGGTTGTAATCAATTTATTTGGGCTAAATTTAAACAAGTTAAGTTGAATATTATTACATTTGTTTAAATTTAACACATCATTTTTTCAGTGCACATTTTTATTTCACTATTCTGAGGAAGTCAGAACTACATGATTACAAGATCTGAGTTGTCAACTGTCATATGAAAATATGACTAAAAAATTGAGAACCACAAGAAATAGTCTGAATTCAGACCAAGTTAAATCTCTTTTTTTTCCAATTCTGACTTTGTTGTAGGACTGAAAGAAAATCTGATCTGATATTTAAAAAAAAAGATATACAGGATGATTCAAAAAGAATACCACAACTTTGAAAATCGAGAACTCTGCAAAAAAGAAAAGGAGAGCTAAGCTCTTTCTGTCGTCGATTTAAGTAAGCTCTGAAGTTTCACATTGAGGAACTAAAAGAAAGAATAACTGTAGTTATCCAAACTGTTACGCCCGAGATGCTACAGAGATTGTGGAATGAGTTTGGGTTGATGTCACTCGTCTGGAGGGGGTCATGTTGAACATCTGTGAACTAGTTTTCTACTGAAAAAAAAAAAGAAAAACTAAGTACTCTTCACATTGATTAATTACTCAAGGTTCCATCATGTTTCTTTAATTACATACAGATCTTCAAAGTTTTGGTCTTCTTTTTGAATCACCCTGCATACTTTGTGTTGCCCAGTATAAATCGAATTGATATTTGTTACAAATGTAAAAAAGTATACATATATATTAGGGATGTAACGGTATCAAAATTTCACGATACGGTAATACCTCGGTATGAATGGCAGGGTACGGTATTTTTTTTAATCATTTAACGGAAAAACAAAACTATTGTAGAGACTCAAAAAAAGTGCTAGAATGTTCAGGTTACCTCAACACTGAACAGATCAATGACATACAAATGATCTATTTGTAAACTTTTAAACAGGAACTTATTCAATTTAAATAACAAAAAATATTAAACCATGTAAAAAAAAAAACACCACCTGAAAGGACAAGCCATGAGTGAGATAGAGGTCTCTTGGTGGTACAAGTCAATGTCTCCATCAATCTGAGTAGTGTGCTGTGTTATGCTGTCCTCTTGACTAAAAGAATCCCCATCATGTTAGTCGTATTCCCCGACTTGTATTTCAGCACAGTCTGGCAGTGCCTGCATACCCTTTTTTCTGTCACCTTTTCTTCTTTCTTGTTACTTTTCAGAGAGAAACTGAAATTCTTCCACACATCTGATTTAAAACCCACTTTAGGTTCGACCATTTTTAGCTCTTTCTCTTTGCCGCTACTAGCACCCTCCATTTCTGCATTACTGGATCTTTAGCAACAACAGACCGCAAAGGATGATGGCCACGCCTGGGCTGATGGGAATTGTAGTTTCCGCTACCTCCCATTCGCTCCATTCGACTGAGCAAACTTTTTTACCAAAAGACCAATGATTTTATTGAGTCACAACCACGGTAATATTGAAAGAAATTGCTATTGCGGTATGACAGTATTTACAATATTGTTACATCCCTAATATATATATATATATATATATATATGTGTGTGTGTATGCAGTCAGAATTGTAAGAAAGTGAGAAAAGTCCGTATTTACAGCATTTACCCTTTCAGAGATCACAAATCTGACTTACTTTTGATTACTTAACAGCGGAGCTATATTTTGTGTTGTATACTATAAATTAGGTTGATTTAAGTCAGAATTAGAGATATAAACTTTGTTTTGTCAAGAATAAGTTTTCCGTTGAATTGAGGTTTCCATAAACAATAAAAAAAACTCAAGAACAATAATTAATATTCACCAAAATCTAGTTACAACATGACAAAAACAGATCACCACAAATGAAGTTTTTTGGACTCAACCCAGACTCAGTACTTTCAGAGATGTTTATTTATTGTACTATTCATAAACCAGTAGAGAATAAGGAGAACAGTCTGTATACAGGCACAGGTTGGCTTGGAAAACAGAAATACTGGAGAATAAGAGCCTCCAAAAATCTGCCTACTTGAAGGAATAAGAACTGTGTAAGAAAAAAAAAACATATGCAATCACAGGCTTATATGACTCGATTACGCTACATTGTTTTGTATATATGTTGCAAATGTGTGCGAGATGAATCCTAAACTGTTTCAACTCCCAACTTGAGTATTTGATACTCCCCATGTTGAAAAATCTCAAATGCTTTTTCCCCCCTCAAAGAAAGCCAATTAAATTAATTCTCAGCATATCCATGTGCACCTTTTCTGCATGTTTCTGTAATTCCAAACCTAAAACTGAAGCTCACCTGTCAAAAGCTTTACCATCAGTTCCTTTCATGCTCCACCACCATCTTTAAAATCCATCAAATCCACATAATCCACCCCCGTCCTCCACAAACATGCTTCCTGCACTTTCATTATTAGCATTTCTCAACAATATTCTGTCCAAACCTGCCAAAATCTCCTCACCCCTGTTAGTGACGTATCAGTCTCCACTTTTAATTGCTCCTAAAAATCATTAAGGCCCGGCCTTGTGCAACATCTCTGGACAGGAGCTGAGATCCAGACGCAGCTTCTATCTATGGCAGTGTGCGACTGGCATCATGCACCCTGACGCTCCAGGGACACTGGGGATCCGTGGAGCTTCAGGATGTGTCCATCTTTCCAAAGCCCTGCTCCCTAAATCTACCAGACGACTTTCAACCCCTCCCCTCCCACCTAAAAAGAAGTTCCCGTGCCGGAGAGGACAACATTTTCTCCAGCGCTTCATAAATACATCTAATCTAAAGCATTAGAACTAAATACATAAAAAGTGTTACATGTTGGCACCATAGTAACATGCACAGCTAGATGAGAGTTATTCGAATACATATTTATTTATTTATTTATTTTTAGTTCATTTTAAAATTAAATATTTCTTAGGCACTTGTGAAATAATCTAGAGATGAAAAACAAGGTGATCATCGGTAAACTACCTCCTTCCTCACAGCCGTGTTTCTGTGTGTGTGTGTGTGTGTTTTAAGTGCGCCAGTGAACCATTAAGTCTGTTTAAAAGCAGGATATGACCTTACTTAAGCACTCGCATCACTTCCCTCTGAGAAAGCGACTGAAATTAAAGAATAGCGAATGGTTTAGTCCTCTCCTCAGGTGGTGGAGAAGAAGTGAAAATACCAAGAATCGTAATCTTTGAGGAAGTGCTGAGCAGCTTGCCGTCCCATCACTCTTCTCTCGGCTGTTGTAGGGAAGCGGGTGGGAATTATGGAGTGCGCTGGATCAAGGGCTTGAAGGTCAGATCCTCTATTCTAGTCTCTACAGGTCATCGCTCTCCACCAGGGTGCCGGGAGGAAGAGGGTTGGAGTCTGGGAAAAAGGCCGCCTTCACGTCCAGACCTCGTTCTGTCAGGGCGGCGTAGCGGCTGGTGGATGGACGCACCTTCTTGAGCTTTGGGGTGTGAGTTTGCTGCCACTGGGCTGAGGGAAGGAAAGGGCGAGGATGAACATAGTTTCGCAGTTAAAAGAAATCACAGGATGTAATAATGAATGTTGTTCCTCAATTACAAAAACAAAATCTTTGCTGTACGGCATGAAATGTTTCATTTAAAGTGTTAGTTCACCCAAAAATGACAATTTACTCAATATTTATCCACCATTGAGTAGTTGCAAACCAATTTCTTTTGTTTTTTCTGTAGAACTCAGAAGATATTTTGAAGAATGTTAGAAACTGGTAACAGCCGACTTCCATAGCAGAAAAAAAAAAAACATACTAGGGAAGTCACTGGTTACCAGTTTTCAATACATTTTAAAATGACTTCTTTTGTGTACAGAACAGAAAAAGAAACTTAAATAGGTTTGTGGCAAGGGAAGGGTAAATAAATGAGGACAATTTCAGTTTATAGATTGTTTACCTAAAATGGCTGTTTACACCGAACGTGAAATCTGCAAATAAATAGCGCTATTCGCAATTGTAAATAGACGCCTGAACATTGAGTTTACTTCATTTGCGAGTCAAATTTACTTCGTGGGCAGGGCTTCGGTCTACCTGGTGACTCTAGCTTCCTTGCTAAATGGCTAACATGTATTTTATTGAGATAGTAGCTGTGTTTATGTGCTTTAAGAAGGCTGAAAAATGGGGTATATTCGTTCAGCGCCGGGTCCAATGCTGCGTTCAAACCAGACGCAGATGAAGCCTAAAGAGTGAGTGAATTACATGTTAAGTCAATGCAAAGACGTGAATAGACATCCTGCACGATACACGCAAATAAGGTGGCACAAGTTGAGCACTTGACCCATTTGACGTGCAATTTGCTTGAGCTAAAAATTCTCAACTTCAGCATTTGCACCGTGTTAACAAATCAGAAGCTTTCTTTTGTATGGGGTGTGATTATGACGTAGCTCCTGTTGTTGGTGTCCCAAGGGGAAATTTCTCTTGCTGACACTGGACAACAGCTCATCAAACTGGGCTTGGCTCAGTCTGAAGCACCACTGAAAGCCTCCATCATCCAGGTAAAGTTTCTGCAGGAGTTGATGAACTCACAGAGCTGGGTGCACCTCTGAAACTATCTAGTGGAGAGTTGGTCTTGTTTTTCTAGTTTAAATATTTTTTAAAAATCAAAAAATCAAAAAGCACTTTTTCAGACAAGAAAAGATAATTAAGAAAATTAATAAAGTTTGCCCTTAAATCAAGCTAAATAATCTAACAACGAAGTATGTATAAACCTACTTTAAACAAGATTATTTAACTTACTCCACTGGCAGGTTATTTAGATTGTTGTAAGAAAAAAAACATTTAATATTTCAAGTAATAGGTGCGGTTCAAATCGCTTACTTATGCACTATTCTACACCATTTTGAAGTATAAATAGTGTAAGTTGTACTTTCACACTGAAAACTCTGCAAAGAATAAGTGCACTTATTACCTGGATGATGCACTTATTAAACCGGTAAAATGAAGTGTGAAATGTCGGACACTTCACGAACTCCACGGCTGCTGCTTTGCTCACGTAGCAGAAGGGCCGGAGCTTTCAGACACTGATGTTGGATTACTTTATTTATTTTGGATTGTGAAAGCAAAATTCTCCTACGAGAGTGATTA